TCGCCCCCCCCCCCCCCCGGGGCGGACAGGTTCTACCTCATATAATTGCGCATCGAGGTAGGAAGAATAAGCATAAACTGGATATAGATAAATGTTTACTTGTAGCCTTAATTGTGTATTAGACACTTCATTCCATCTGGACACTTCATTACATCTGTTCTAAAGTCACAGTAAATCATGGCAACAAAAATTGCTGAAGAGCCCTCCAACCATGCCGCGGGGGACATGGTTCAAAAACTGCAGGAAAAATCATGTTCCTCATGCTCGCTACAGCTTTTGGAAAACGACCTAAGAATGTTAGATTTTGTGGTCCAACGTGCAATTTAGAGAAAGCTTACAATATCGGACGACTGGACAAAGTCCTCAAAGGCTTCAATCTCATCCTGGAGGTCCTGAGTCGAGACCTTGTCGTCCTCGACAATCAGGTTAATCTGCAGTTTCTTGATGCCGTATCCTACGGAGACTAGCTTGGATGTTCCCCAAACTAAGCCGTCTTTCTCGATACCGCGAACGGCTACTTGCAGCGCTTCCATGTCGGTCTCGTCATCTAACCTGTGTTAGTGCACGTGCAGCGGAAGTCCAACGCCGAAAAAAAGTTAGCAGAGTAACTATTAAGCAACATACCCCATGGTTTGACGTCGATAGTGACGAGAGATTTGGCAGTAGTCTTTGGCTTGGCCGCCTTTCGCTCCTTGTAATCAGCCAAGCGCTGCTCGCGAATGCGCACCGTCTCCGGGTCTTCCTCTTCATCGCTGCCAAACAGATCGACATCTTCGTCATTCTCGTCGGCGACGTCGAGCTTTGTAGAAGAAACAGACTCTTCCGGTCCGTACTCTTTGTAGAGCTTGGAAGAATCACCCGGAAGATCGGCGAACTCGGTCTCGTAGGAGGTCATGTGTCGGTACCATCGAGCGGCATGCGGGTGCAGCGAGGCATCGGGGACGGCATCAATGGCCTTGAAGCAGGCGACGTCGGCTTGTGAAGGCGCATACCTGAGGTAACAAGTTAGAACATGGCAGACTACTTGCCAATCACCGATCTGGTGTTGGGACAAGGCAGTATTGGGTGGAGATGTTGCAGGCAGACAGCGTACGGTACAATGTAGGACCTGGTAATCAACCAGCGATTGAGGGCTGAGAGACATTAGTGTGTAATCTTTAGTGAAAGAAAAATGAATACGGCAGCACGGTGCAACTTGCCTCGGAGACCAATCTCTTCGGCGAGGTTAGGGAAGCCCATCTTGGTTAGTCTGGGGTAAAAGTCAAGGAGCTTTAGACGTTGAAAATCTGAGGCGAACGAGGAAAAGGGTGAAAGGAAATGTATGCAAAGACATGAATGGGGCATAGTTGCCCCAAAGAAGTGAGATGACCAGAACCGTGGGAAATTACCAGAAATGGCAATATTACAATGCTAGGGACGATGATGGGGACGAAGCTGGCTGGGACCAGTTGCGGGCGCTATTGGGATCGCTCTTAATCTGTATTTTCTACTAGTTATTTCCCCAGTTTTTAAATGGACCCCAAAGGGGCTAATTAGCTGTAATTGTTTCGAAGTCTTTGTAAAAGTCACCATTTTAGATTATTTGGAAATCTCAGTAATATTTGTGCAAAACTACAAAAGAGTTGCCACCAAATATGATGGCTCTATACTACCACCAGCACCAGCGAAAGAAGAACCATCAAAACCGGAATATAATAGTAGACGTGATAGGTAGTCCTGTCCATTTCAACGGAAGTGGACGCTTGAATTCGATAAGCCAGAACGGAGGAGGAGGCAAGCTGCAGCACAGAGAGCACGGCAAGCAGAGGACCACATTGCGTCTTTTGGTAGGCAGCAAAAGCTAGTGCAAAACCGAACAAAAGAATAAAGACGGACGTGCCCGCTCGTAGCAGTTTTAGCTGCCCCTCAGAGAGCAGCATAGGGAGTGTCTTCCTGTAACGGGCAAGCCGCTTGAGCGGCGGCTGTGCCGCCGAGCTTCTAGAACCTTCCATTGATCGAAGCTATAGAAGTGCTGTTATGCTCTCATAAAGTTGATTCACTTTCTTTCCTCTTCATCTTGATAGAAAACAGCATAGGAACTAGATAGTTGAATCAACTTACTAGCGGCCTTTCACAACTTCTTGCATCAAGGTGTTATGATGATAGTTTGCGGGAAGCAACGAGAACGGCTCTGGTAGCGATAGCTGCTCTGTGGGCAAGCATCTCTCCGTGCTCTTCTGAATAGCCAGGTCGGCCATATCACAAAGACGAGGATGGCCTAGAATATCTGCGGCCGACAACTTCAGATCCATGTCCATAGCCCGTGCCGACAGAACCATGGCACTAATCGAGTCACCACCAAGCTGGAAAAAGTCGTCGTTCATCCCAATGTCGCCGCGATCCCGACCAAGCACATCTGCAACCAGCTGGTGTATTTTACTTTCTGACGTATTGGAAGGGGGCCTCATTCTAGATGAACAGAAGCCACGGTAGATGTTGAGCTCCCGTCGCAAAAGTGAGCACGCCTTGTCCTTGATAAGACGCCGGTCTACTTTGCCGGTAGGACCGAGGGGGAATTGCTTGAGGGGAACAAATAACGAAGGGATCATGAAAGGAGGTAGGCTCTTCCGTAGCGCCACTTCCGCGATCGATGCCCGAGATTGAAACTCTTCATCTGGGACGGCGAACATGGCAGACGTGGACAGCGTGCCTTGGTTGTTACTGGAGCGTTTCCCTGCAACATTGCTGGCATCCCAGATAAAAGCAGCAAGTAACCTCTGACTGTCTGAGTTCTCGGGGGCAATGATTTCCACAATGGCATCCGTTGTGGCAGGAAAATGCCGCGCAACTTGATGTTCAATCTCCGCAAGCTCCATTCTCTGCCCGCGAAGTTTGACCTGCCTGTCCTTCCGACCAACAAACTCTAGCGATCCGTCGCCGTCTGGACTGTACCGCATCAAGTCTCCAGTTCTGTATAGCCTGCCTGGTGACTCACTTCGTGGCATGGCACGCAACCACTTTGGCGGCGGAATGAAAGGCGAGCCGCCCAGATCCTCTCCCATGTACCCGCGGCCGACAATCGGGCCCTCAATCACCAACTCGCCAACCGCCCCAATGGCAACCAGCTTCTCTGGGTTGGCAGGCTCTACCAGCCAGCATGCGGAAGAAGCTGCCGATCCGATATTCACCGGATTGGCACCCGGTTGAGTCTTGGGCTGCACAGTGCAGTAGACCGTCCCCTCAGCAGGACCATATACGTAGACGAGCCGCACGGCGCCTGACCAAACCGTAAAGTCTATTCCCTTTGCAGACTCGCCACCAATCACCAAGGTGTTGAGATCTGGTACAGCGGAGGGTGTTAGAGTTCGGGCGACCGAAGGTGTCAGAAAAGTCCAGTTTGCTCTACGATCTCGTATGGCTTTGGCTAGGTTGTCCCGGCTGTCCGCTTCATTCGGGACGCATACGCAGCCGCCAAGGGCCAGTCCAAACACATAATCGGCAGCGGTGACGTCGAATGCATGGGATGCAAACTGAAAAATACGTGACTGGCGACCCAGATGGAAGTGCAGTCCAAGCGCGGTAACTTGGGTGGCGAAGGCTGAATGCTCGATAACGACGCCTTTCGGCGTTCCCGTTGACCCCGAGGTATACAGCGCACATAGGGCATTACTAGGGAGTGCTTGGATGGGATGATGCACTTGAGTAGTTAGCGAGGCTTGGTTTTCTCGACTGCTGTTCTCATCGACCTGGACGACGTGTTGACAGCCGAGCTTCGCCGCCAACGCAGCCATATCCTTGGAACATAGCAACACTGATGCTTGCGCATTCTTGCAAATCCACGCCAGCCGTTCGGTTGGGTGTGAAGGGTCCAACAGTATGAACGCGCTACCGGCTTTGGCGACTGCCAAGATGGCAACAGCGACCCATTTCGACTTTTCAAAGCAAAGAGGAACCATCATGTCTGGACCCAGTCGTTTCTCTCTAAGAACGGCTGAAAACAGTGACGACTGATCGTCGAGCTGCTTGTAGGTAAACTGACCATCCCATGCGTCAATCGCGCTAGCTTCTGGCTGCGCTACGCAATGGTCGTGAATCATGTCATGGATGCACCTCGGAACGGCTGGAGGCGCTGAAGAGTTCCAGCACTCGATTTGCTGCAAGTCATCTGTGCTGATACTGTCCATGTCGCCCACCAATTTATCCGGCGACAGTACTGTCTGCTTCAAGACATTGCCAAAAACTTGTAGAATCCGTCTCATTTGGGCCTTGGGCACCACCGTGGCATCGTAAACAGCCTCGAAACGGACGCATCTATCGGCGCCGGGGGTTGACAGAATCGTCAATGCGTATGTATTCCACATTGGCTGGGGCGTAAAAGCACCAGTATCACCGAAGATGCCAGATTTTTCGGCTGATGATTGACGCTGTTGAATGACGAGGAGGCTTTGGAACTTGCACGCCTTGGCCGCGTCGTCTCCAAGGCGACTGATGTTCTGTACCCCAAACTGTTCAAATTGTATCATCTCTATGATACGTTTCTGCAGCGTCTCCAGCTCCTCGTGAATTGATGAAGAGGACCTCAACTGAACCCTCAAGGGAAATGTTGCAATCGTGGGACCAGCAATCTTGTCAATCCCCGGCACGGGCGCTGCCCTGCCAGAAACCGTCAAGCCAAACACTACATCATTCACGCTGGTGTAAGCCATTAGAGTCATTGCCCACGCTAGCTGTATGCGCGTGGTGAGTGTTATATTTGCTGCCGTTGCAACACTTGGAGGGAGGCATATATGCTGGCTTTCGGATTCCGTGGTATTTGGGGAATGTGTGGGCGTTGGCAGAGCTGGAAACTGTTCGGCGCGTATCCCAGCAAACTCACTTCTCCAATGATCGGATGAATTTTTATTAGATTGGAGTACATATTTGACAAACTCCCTAAATGTTTGAAGGACTGGAACGTGGCCATGATACGTGTCGCTCACTTGGGTCTTCAGGATAGCCGCTGACCAGGCATCGTATATGCAGTGATGCATGGTAACGACGCAAAAGTTTGGCTCTCCGCTGGCGTTGGATATGATCGCCATTCGTACGAGCGGCGTACCCAGATTTACCGGCTTTGCCTCGTCGTCCGCCAGATATTTGGTCAAGTCATAGGCCATGTCAACAACCGCCTCGTCGCGAACCACGACTTGATACGTTGGGCCGTCACCAACAGATCGTATGACACGGGTTCTCAAGGCGGGGTTCGCGTCCAAGGTGGCTTTCCAAGCTGCTTCGAGCTTTCGAAAGCTAACGCCCTCTCTAAGCTTGTAGACACGTCGTGACACATACGAGCCTGGCCGTAGGGAGTTGAGAGCGACAAGGCCCTGTTGCATTGGTGTAGTTGGATAGATGTCCTCAATCTGAGTCGCCGGTAAAGCGTACTCCTTAGCTGCTGTTGCGAGAACAGCTTGCTTTTGGCTCTCTGTAATCAATTCAAACGCCGAGCATGTGTAACTCTGTTGCGTGTTTCCCTCCGTGGAGCCAATCAGCTTTGCCTGACTTGACAGTACTGGATTCGCAAAAATGTCCCCAAAGGTCAGACTAAGACCGAGGCCATGCGCGGCTGAGGCCAGCCTCATCGCCGCCAGCGAGTCGCCTCCCCGTCGGAAAAAGTCCTCGAATCTTCCGATGCTCGATTCAGCAGTGTTTAGCACCTGCGACCAGAGCGAACGGAGCTGCAGTTCTTGGGGTGTGCACGGGGCCTCGTGGCTGGCAACGGATCCCAGACATGCAGCTTCCTCCGAAGCCGTCATCTGGAAGAGAATTTCGCGCAGCTTTCTGCGATCAGTTTTGCCGGAGAGATTGAGTGGTATATGGGACACTATGACGACGACGGTTGGAATCATGTACCGGGGAACGACGCTGGCCAAACGAGTCCGAAATATCTGCAGGTAGACAGTGGCTCGGTCCAAGGGGCCGAGGAGAACAGTACCTCCCGTATCAAGTGACGTAGGGTTCATTCCGAGAAACGCTGTCAACTTGACATCCTCAGATATTGACGTGCGGCACACGTCCATAATCACATCGCAGACTTCCGTGTCTGAAATGTCTATCAGACAGCGCTGAACCTGCTGGAGCACGTCGTCCAGGTCAAGCCGCTGTCCGTATAGCTTGACTGAGTTGTCTTTTCGGCCAAGGTATCGGACGGATCCATCGTCAGCAAATTGTGCCAAGTCTCCTGTTTTGTAGAGCTCCCCATCGTATCCAGGCTGTAGTTTTCGCAGCCAGGCTACATCGTGAAGAAATGCAAGCGCGGTTCTCTCAGCATCAAGGTATCCGCGAGCCAGCACGGGACCTTGAATAACTAACTCACCAACAGCTCCCACAGGCACCAGCTTGTTATGGTCGCCGGTGTCGACGAGCCAGATGGATCTCCCGACTCTGTGGCCAACGTTCTTTCGGTCAGACGCGACCGTCGGGCTCCTCCTCACGCAGCAGAGGCTGACACTCTCAGCCTGACCATACGCGAACAAGAGATTCACTTTACCCTCCCATGTTGCAAGACCTTTGAGCGACATGGGCTCACTAGTCAGGAGCAGCGTCTTGAGCTCGGGGGTCATGCCTGGATCGAGGAGGGCTGCCACAGACGGGGTAAGGTTGGCCCAATTGACTTGGTACTCGGCAATGAATGTCTCGAGGTGGTTGAGCCGCTGCAGCTCAGACGGCATACAGACACACCCTCCGAACATGAGTGTGAGAAGAATGTCCCGGTGAGCTATAAGGAAGGCGAAGCTCGAAAACTGGAGCACACGAGACTGGGCATCCAAGCAGAGTGATTGTCTCAGCAGTGTACCCCAGCTGACAAACGCCGCATGCTCGACTATGATCCCCTTTGGCTTGCCGGTGGATCCGGAAGAGAATACAACGTATAGTGCACTGCGAGGTATACCGGGTATCACTCTTCCGGTCGCCTTCGAGATCATAAAACTCTTGGATGTGGATTGTGCCCATGAACCATGCAAAAATGACAAAGTCGATTTTGGAGCTGATGTTCCAGGCAGGCCGACGACCGGCCAAGACATGGTTGAGGAGCCGGCCCAGGATGCAATACGAGAAGGAAGCAAAGTAGTTGCGCATGAACCACGAGAACCACCGCGGCCACACGTAGCAAACGGTGATGAGAACCTCCCAGTGCAAAAGATGTAGCATTGCCCATATCCCGTACGCCTGGTAAAGAACCAAAGGGCCACCGATCCACGCCACCGCCCATCGCGCTCTGGCCTGATTGATTGTGATTTTGCCAGAAGGAATCGGTCGGTGCGGCTTGTTATGATAGTCTTCCTCGGGCGAAGTCGTCTGGTTGCAAATGTCGAATACATAGTTGCACATGACGCACACAGCCAAAGTCTGTGCTGTTGCGCTAGCCATGGCAGCTAGACTCAGCGGCTCCCGCAGCGCCCGGGATAGCAATCCGCCCAGGAAAATGAATAGAAAACCCACGGCATTGGACTTTAACAAGCGTATTGAAACGTCTATCTCATGATACACTGTCGAAAATATCAACATGGTCATGCTTTGCGGGAGACTGAATACATTCGTCTCTGACCAAGGTTTGAGGTTGTCGTCGCCCTCGAATGGCATGATCGAAGGTTTGATGGAAGCCATAGTAAATACTTTAACGAAAAAAAGGCAAATATTCTGCTCTCGACACAGCTATCAACAACCGGATATCAGAACTATCCTTCTTAAAGTGCATATAAGTACTGGCGAGTAGCTATTAAGCGCCACACCGCGCGAGTAGCGCCGCGAACGGCAACGACCGGGCACTGAAACGTTATACCCGTCGTTCGCTCTACAATTTACCAGATCAGGAAAGGCATCCTACAAGGCTCTCATGCTTAAACGGCGCGGCATTAGAGCGGTCCTTGTCCAAATTTGGGTGCGCCGTTGAGGTAGTAGTTGTGTGGGGGGATCAAGCCACGAAAAAATTACCCTATGAGGTAATTTGAGACTTTGGCAATACTAGAGGGTTTCCAGGCCTTGAAAGGATGGTCAGCCAAACCATAGAAGACAACGTGGAGTACAAGTCTAGTGCTAGGACGCAGCTTGTTGTCCCAAGACCAATGAGACGAATAGCTTCAGAGAAGCACCACCATGCCACAAATCCTACTCGCAGCAGCGTCACTCTATGAGCAGAAGCGTGCATGTGTGGCGATTGTGCTGCTGGTAGCATACTTTATTATCAGGACAATCTATCGCCTATACTTTCACCCTCTCGCCAAATTCCCAGGCCCAAAAATTGCAGCTGCAACAAGTTGCTTCGAGTTTTATTTCAGCGTCGTCAAGGATGGCGTCTTTCCGTGGAAAATAAAGGAGCTGCATGAGCAATACGGCAAGTCTAGAAGATATTCTAGGACCGCATAATAAAAAGAGCTAACATTTGCTGTAGGACCTGTCATCCGCATCACTCCAAACGAGCTCCATTTCAGTGATCCGGAGTTTTACAATGAAATATACTCTGGCCAGAAAGCACCAAGGGACAAGTACGCCCCCTTTTATCGCTTCACAGGTGCCACACAATCAGCTTTTGAGACACACGACTCTAGGCTGCATAATTCACGACGTCAGCCGCTCATGAGCGCGTACTCGAAAAAAGCCGTCGCGGCAATCGAACCACTAGTGCTCGAAAAAGTCAACATTTTGGTACGGCGGTTCCGTCAAGCCCATGACGAAAATGCCGTGCTCGTGTTGGACGCGGCTTTTGCGGCCCTGACAGCCGACATCATATCGGAATACTCATTCGGATCCTGTCTGAATTATTTGGAAGACGAGAGTTTCAACAATGAAATCAGAGAGAGCTTGATGGCAAGTTTGTCACTGTTCCACGTCGTGAGGTTCTTCCCTGCCATTATGATGCTAGCCAAGGTGCTGCCTGTGCCGCTCGTGCGGCTGCTGAACCCGAATTTGTGCAAGGTACTGGATCTGCGGAGGTTGATTCGGGAGTTGACGATGCGGGAGCTGGGGAAGATGAGCAGCGGCTTGCCAAGCCAGGCGATGCTCGTGAAGAGACTGAATGACCCCAGCATTCCGGAATGTGAGCGCAGCTTGGAACGGCTTTGCGACGAGGGTTTTGTCTTTTTGAATGCGGGAGTGACGGCAGGCAAGACTCTTGCATTCATCATGTTTCGGCTTTTGAGCCATGGCGGTGTCACTTACAGTAAGCTCTTCGACGAACTCGAGCGGGCGTTCCCGGATGTCGGTGCTCTCGACCACGTAACGGAAAAGGATTTGGTGGCGCTGCCATACTTGGTGAGTCTTGTTATTGAAGCTTGCGACGATTTTGATTGACCCGAATCAGAGAGGTGTTGTGTATGAAGGTCTTCGTCTATCGATTGGCCCGTTGACCCGGCTGCCACGAGTTGCCCCTGATACCGCGTTGCTTTTCCAGGGCCAGGTCATTCCACCAGGGGTACGTAAACAGAAAGCTTATCGTCAGTCAGAAAACAATTACTGATGGCACCACAGACTGGGATAAGTGAAAGTAACTATTTTCTTCACATGAACGAGGAGCTCTTTCCGTGTCCCACGCAATTCCGCCCCGAGCGCTGGGCAGAAGCAAATAAAAATGGAAAGCGGCTCGAAAACTACATTGTGACCTTTTCCAAAGGCACGCGGCATTGCCTCGGAATGAAGTAGGCGACAAGTCCCCGATGTGCTGCTCGTTTCGTTTTTATTACTGACAAACCGCTGCAGCTTGGCGTACATGGAACTCTACATGCTGGTAGCTGTGCTGGTGCGCAGGTTCCACATGGAGCTATACCAGACGACGGACAAGGATGTAGAGATTTTTCGCGACAAATTATTCGGTTACCCCAGAGAGCCTTCTTTGGGCGTCAGGATTCGAGTCAGCGCGTGCAGAAGCTGAAAGGCGGGCGGGCCGGCGGGTGTTGGAAGGAGATTCTCTGGACTCGAGCCTTGTTTTCTGCTCATGGCAAGAAGATTACGCAGGAATATGTACAGTACATACATACATACATACATACATACAAAGTACAGCCACACTTCTGGGCAAAGTACAGGGATACAGCAGGGGGTGGGTGAATAAGTAATCGAAGTAGCAAATTTTTTGCAGGAAGGGTTTATCCACGTGTCAACCAACCCACCAACACTGTCAACCAATTTTGTAGCTGGGGGTGGCTAGTGTAGCGGTTGGACGCCGAAGCCAGCTTTCCCATGGTAATTTACACCAAAAGCACGCATCGCGTGTCCGCCAACTACCTATCCTAACCACCACGCAAGAGTTATTCCTGTGCACGCAACTTTGAAGCTATCGCAAATAAGGCTTTCGAAACGAAGCCAACTCCACAATGGAGTAGCCAGGCGGGCCGGGAAGCCGTTTCCTTTATTAGCCATCGCGGAGCGGAACGGAAACCATTTAGCGGCATCCACCGAAAGTAAAACTTCTACCAGTAGTTAACTAGTTAACTATAGTTACGCTGATCCGGTTGGCTCACAGATCCAGCCTTGTTGCAACGGGGCGAAATTTGCGGCCAAAACTCGTACGTCTTCAAGATGCACAACGATGTGCTGTCATTCGTATTGCATGCATCTTCACCAAAGACCCGCAACGGGAGGATTTATTAGCATGACTACGCATTTTGAAAGCGTCACACCTTAGTTGTAAGTGTGTCGTGGTTCGACGCCACAAAACGTATACATACATAGATGTGCGGCTAACGACCCTCCAAACGGATTTCGGTCTTTTTGTGTGAGGAACCACCCGGCCCATCGCGCCTCGCGCTGTCAGAGATGAGGAATAACATGTGCATCGGCTAGCTTACACCGTGGCTTTCCGCCTAGTGGCAGAGGGAACTTAATAAGGCTGCCTGATCAGGCCATCCTGTCAGCAAATCCAAGGAACAACTCGAGCTTGAGGTGTGTGGGTGAGGCTGCAATGTTGTTATCACGCCCACATCATGTGGGTGGCTGACGGCAAAAAAGCCTGCCAAACGGGTCTGCGCACTAACGTTAGTTATTAGTCCAAAAAACAAACACCCACACTTTCATCCATAACTACGAAAAAAATGTGACAGTTGAAACGCCCTTGCCTGCCTGATCTGCTGTCTTTTTGGAAGGATGCGACTGAGTCTGTCTAAGAATGGTAGGCGGGTATTTTCTCAGGAAGGGAGAGGCCGCTGCTGCTTCTGCCTCTGCTGCTGAGCATGGCATCGAAACTGTCCGGCAGAGACACCAGGGAACATCATTCGTCAACTCGGCGCCGAAAAACTCCTCCCCCAACGAGAATACCAAACCCTCAAACATGGTTCCCAGGAGCATGAAGTTTGTCACCCAGAAAAATCCCGAGGGGAAGAAAAGGACGCGACAAGCACATCGCACCAGGACTCGTTCCCACGAAAACGACAGCCACCAAAGACAGGCCGGCCTTGATGGTTCGTTGGGCAGCGGTCAAATCACGGCTCCCCGAAATCACTTTGAAACTGATCCAGGCACGGAAGTGGACGAAACAGAAGCGACCGACTTTTCCTGGGAGATGGAAACGGGGGGACCTTTTGTGTCCAGCGGCTGGCAACGGTCCTCTGACCTAGGCACAGACCTTTTTGATCTGGAGATGAGTTGGGACCATGGTTTGCACCAGATGCATCACTATCCAGTGGAGTCTGAAGGAGCCTTCACCGCTGACCCGCGACCACAAGACCGCGCTCCTTCACAAACGAATGGAGCGCCTACTATCGGAGATGCAATACAGCCCGCGTCGGATTTGGTCAGATTTATAATGGCCCAGCACAAGAACAAGCTGTTCAACCGCTATCATAACTTTCTCTGCCCAACCCTTTCGTGGCCGCTTGAAACGTTGCATCTAATCGCGCAGTGCCCTGGCAACGACGGGCTTGCAGGCGACCAATGCCACCACGATACGACTGCTCTCGATTTTACAATTCTGATAGGCGCATTGCAAAATTCTCTTGATACCATGGGAGCTCAATCAGACGAGACGACACTCTACTATAGCAAGCTTTGTACGCTTGTAACTGGGATACTGAGCTGCGAACAAGTCCAACCCTCCGAGACATTGGTTGGGGTAATACACGCAGTTGCGAGCTTAGCGATGGTTGCTGTAAGGTTCAGCCCTCGTACCAGACAGAGAATAAAGCGAATCTGATGCGTGTACTAGACCGACATTGGCAATTATGTGGACTGGAATGTCCAACTACAAAGATTAAAATGGCTTGTGTCCTTGCTGGGTGGATTGGCACGACTGCCTCCAAGCACGCGCACCTTGATCAGAAAGTAAGAAATCCTGCACCCGCAATTGCAGCGACTAATACATGTACAGGGCGGACTTGAAAGGGTCGATAGAGCTTTTGTCTGAGCCAGTGTTTTCTTTTATTCGGTTCACCGAATCGACCAGTGGCTCTATTCCCACCACTGAGCGTCAAGACACACGCCAGGCCGTGATCCAGGGCTTGTTAGGAACAGGCATCGAACCCTGTCTGATTGAGAATTTTGTGTGCCTCGCCCACTACATACAAGCCATCGATTGCGCTCTTCGATCGGATGAAAAGATCAAGTACGATACAAACGCGTTGGCAGAGGACTGGTTCAGCATTCAACATTCCTTTCTGACCCTGCCAACACCGATGCAGCATCCAGAAGCTGTCCACATCTCCTATTCTAATGGTGAGAGGAAGCCCCTTGAATCTCGGCGCTGCAAATCATGTGGAATCAGTAGAACTGAAAGTGATGAGCTGTCTCTCAAAGCAAAGATCACATACAGCTTCAAATCTACACTAGCTACTACGCCAGGCGATGACAGTGAAGGAACTTTGGTGCGGGCGTTGCGACTCACGGGCCTGCTATGCATGATGCTTCACGGTCCCATCAATGCACCACGCGGACAGTACAACACTTCAAGACTGCTCCTGCAGCTCATACGCGTGATGCGCGTTATTCTGAGCAGGATTTATGCGCAGCCATCCAACGACACACCGGGATCGAACCCTGGCTCGTCGGCACCGCCCGACATTGTCCAGGCCCGCCGGGCATTGATATGGATGTGTGTAACGGCAGACTGCATCATTGCGAAATCCTACAAAGAAGGCTGGTGGCGGGACGAGTTCACGGCAAACTATGCGGTAATAGGGCAACTGTTGACTGTGGTGCTGACAGATACCCGGGAGGGCGAGGCTCTGCTCTCAGATGGCGATCTTGAGCTGTGCCATGTATTTGACTTTATGCGATTGAAAAGGCAGGAGATTGATGCGAGGAATATTGTTTTGAGCATATTGAACAAGGTGCCAACTATTTTATTTTAGCCGTACCTCAGCCCCGCCCGCCAGAACATGACCTGCACAGGGAGTATTGAAGCCGTTCAAGGAGAAGCAGGCCCTGGTACAAGCCGAGGAATACGGTGATGTAGGGGCGGTTTCCCAGACGCTGATAGATTCTGGACTCGCTGTCAATATGTTCGTTGCAGTTGTCCAGCGTTATTGGCTTCTCGATAACGACTTCATCAGATACCTTGAACGCCGAGCCGGAGGAGCCAAAGCTGGCGAGCGGTAGTGTGTTGACAGTAAAATCTTGAGGAAGGCAGGTCACAGGCGGCGGCGCTATCGTGACTTGTTTCACCCCATCGCCGTCATTGATCGTGCTGTCGTAAGGGGTAGAACAGATACTGGAGCTGCGAGCTGCTGGTAGGTGAGCCAGGTGCCTGCCGTGAGCTACCGCCTGCCTAAATAGGTTGTATCAATACAGAAAAAACAGAAAAGGAAACCAAAAAGCACTTAAAGCGCTTTATAAGAGTGAGTATTTAAAGGCTACAGCTACTCGTCTAAAACTACATGACCGCCAAGCTTACTTCTGTACAAAGCGATGCAAGAATGCCTGCGTCTCACGATTTTCCCCACAAACCCTGTGGTGTAAACCGCTTGTTCACAAATGCAATAATCCCACCAAACAAGCACACGCTGCCGCTGAACATGGCGGCTTGGAAAAAACTACCTCTGTAATGCTCAACCATGAAGCCGTCCAGAGGCGGACCTATGAGGCCGCCTAGAGCACCAAAGGCCATACCCATGCCGGCATAGGTGCCCACATCTCGGATATCTGGGCAGCACACAGTGAAAGCAACCGACACACCGGAAACGATGGTACCTGAGGTAAAGCCAAAGATGACCGAGTACACAATCATCGCGGCATTCGTCGTGGTCTCGTTCATGCAGAAGATGACGGCTGAAGTGACCACCGCGCCGACCGAGTACACGTTGAGCTTGCCGAGCCTGTCCGCCAGGATACCCGGGATAATACGACCAAAGGTAGAAGCGGCGTTGAGGATGGCGGACAGGTAGCCGGCCAAGGTGGGCTCCATGCCGCGGAGGCTGGCATATGTCGGGATGAAGTAGAGGGGGAGGAACATGCCCATGAAGACGAAGAACATGGAAATTGTCAACAAGACGAGTCTTATGTCCTTGAAGGCCGCGGAGAGCCAGAATGACCGAGATCGCGGCGGGAGTCGGGCCTTGATGGTGAAGAGAGGAAAGGTCAGGAAGGGCAGGATGACGAAGCCGATGATACGGATGCTCCACCCGAACCCGAGATCGGTACCGTTGAGCATCTTGGACAGGGCTATGGGGATGATGATGCCACCGACCGAGGACCCGGAGACGCCGAGGCCAATGGCGGCCGCGCGGTTCTTGTCAAAGTATTGCGAAATGGCAGCCATGGAGGGAAACTGCAGCAGGCCCTGGAGGGCACCCTGGAGGACGGCCTGGCAGAGCATAAAGTGCCAATACTCCTTGCAGAGACTGAGCAGCATCATAGAAATGAGGTAAAGCACCGCGGCGGGCCGGATGACCTGATTTTCGCAACGGTCAGAACAGGATGCAAGCCGTGTCAGTAGAGAGGGTCTGGCTTGCCTTTGCGCCGTACTTGTCGAACAGCGGCCCGCCGACCATGCCGGAGAAGAACTGCAAGAAGATGCTCAGGGAGCCGATCCAGGCAATCTTGGACGGGGACACGCCACGCAGCTGGTTCTGGATGTAGTAGTCGGCCAGCACGCCAAAAGAATTGGAGAAGCCAAGGCAGGAGAAGAAGATGCAGAAGCCGCCCGCGGCAGCGAGCCAAGCTTCGAGGCCGCCGTCGGGCGCCTTGGAGAGATCCTCACTCGCCGTCTTACTCGTGTCTCCGACATGTTGCTTCTCTTGCCGGCCCGGATCGACGAGGTTGTCTTGGGTGTCGGAAGCTTGGCTCGGCTGAGCCGGTACGTCGTTGGCGGCCATGGTTGTCGCAGGTTCTCTGGTGGTCTTGTCTGTTTGGTATCCGCCCAGAGATGGTCGCACTGATCAGATGGGATTTCTAGGTGTAGAATATTTCGATTTGTCATTGTATTTGGCGAAGGAAGGGCGGCGTGTTGATTTTATATACGCGGGCTGCGAAAGTCGGGAAATGGCGGCCGGGCATGCAAGTCGGCCTCGGGCCAGTCCGATCTCAGGGGCGCTGAACAGTGTCATCATGTCATGTGGCATGCCAGCGGCTAGAAGAGGGTGAGAATTGGGTTGTATTCGCGCGTCGCGAAATTCGGACATTTTAAACCCATTTTAAATCTGCCGGTACGCCATTATCATGTATTGACAGGAGGCTGAATCTAATCTGATAAGATGCCCAGCCTTGAGTGGAGGGGAAAATCGGGAAATGTAGCTGAGCCGTTGTTAGTGAGACACCGCACCGAAGCTAATACAGTTGCACCAGAGTTTGATAAAGAGCAACGTGCGCGCGTGATTAACTTTTTTCGCTTTCCCGCGTCATGATTCCGCTGCGATCCGTTAAAATTTTGCATGAGGGAGGTTGCAGCTGCAGTTTTTGTTGTTGATTGAAAAGGGAAGTGCCCGAAAGCTGTCTTGTTCCTCGCGACGCGAGCTATTTCCCGACTTTTAAGCCGAGTCCGACTTTGCGCCCCTTGCAGCAGCAGCCACAACGCTGAACAAGCCACACGAGCTGTCAGACAAGGCAACAAGAAACAAAGGGCAAATTGATCATATTCTCTGAGAACATACATCCTCACAGTATTCAACTCACTTTTCGCTAACCGCCGATTTTCTTCTATCCTGGAAGATCGGACAACTGCGCACATCTGCCGCTGCACCCATAAGCTATCCTCTCCCCACGCCTTAGCTCAGCGACTGAGCTGAACATGACGATGCAAACGCCAGTCAAGGCCGGGCCTGGTCGACCGCTCGTGTAAGCCTCGTCATCTCTTTCCTGCAAAGACTCGACTGACCCAGGGCGCACCACCAGCTCATGCACCGTCTGCCGCAAGCGCAAGCTCAAATGCGACCGCCAGCACCCCTGCCGCAACTGCCTGCGCTCGCGCTCCAAGAACCCGGAGCGGGACTGCGTCTACGAGGACGCCGCCGCGCTGCCAGCCCGCGATCGCGCGCGGCCACCGCGACGCCGATCCTCCGTGAGCCAGCAGCGACCGACGCCGTCGGCGACGCCCGACGTCGTCTCGCAGGCCTCGGGGCCCGTCTCGCCCGCCGACGCGGAGGCGCCGGTCCTGGTCTCCCGCCCAGACCCGGCGGCCGCCACGTCGTGCTCGCACACCACCTTCTCGGTGGTCAGTCGGTCGTGCGCGTCAACCTCGGCGCCGCATTCTGTGCGAGGACCAAAGTCCCTGGCCAGCGAGGTCGACTCGGCCTGTCAAACGATCGAGAGCAGCTTTTTCGGACACACCATGACCGCCGGCCGCGGCGTGACGCACAAGTCGAGGTTTTTTGGGCAGAGTCATTGGCTCAGCATCATCGTGCTGGTATACTCCCTCGCAGTGAAGTCGTTTTGGCCTTGAATTTGTGCTAACGATTCCTAGTTTCGAGATCTGGCAGCAACCATCACGACGGACTTGTGCGTCGAAAACTCCAAAGCACTTTTGGCGCTGCACAGGTGCAAGGCTTTGGCGAGAGAGATTAAAGCGCAGAGGTCACCAACGTGGCCAGCGCCGCTCACTGCAGCTCTGCCTGCGAAGAACTTGGCGGACGAACTGGTCGACTCGTACCTTGACACTACCGAGACTGTGTATAGGGTATTGCACATCCCCTCCTTTCGACGGGATTACGATTCTTTCTGGTTACTCGGAGCAGACACACTGCCTGACAGAGCCTTTTTGATACAGCTCAAGTTGGTACTGGCCATTGGGGCTACCTCATATGACGACACGTTCTCCCTGCACTCGTCGGCCATGGCCTGGGTCTACGAAGCTCAAACGTACCTGTCAGAGCCTGGCAGCAAGTCACAGCTCAGCATACAGTTTCTTCAAATAAGTATTTTGCTCTTGATAGCACAAGAGGCGATGGGCATCGAGGGCCACGCGCTTTGGATCTCCGCCGGTGCTCTAGTAAGGACCGCCATGCATATGGGCGTGCACAGAGACCCGACGGACCAGTTTGCCGCGTCGCGCCCGAGACTGGCCCATGAAATGTGCCTTCGACTATGGAGCACCGTACTGGAGCTAGCTCTGCAGTCCAGTTTCGTCGCTGGCAAGCCTCCACTGGTCTCGATTGACGACTTTGATGCGCCTTGTCCTGGGAATTTTGACGACGATCAGCTGATGCCGGAGGTGAAGGACCCTCTACCGAAGCCCAACGAAGACTTCACGCAAACGACAATTTCTATTGCGCTGCGAAAAATGTTCCCACTTCGTTTGGCAGCTGCCAAGATGCTCAACGATGCCAATACGCAAGAGACATACGAGGAAGCACAAAAGTTAGACCAAGGGTTGCGGGACATTTACAAAGACGTGTGTCGTACACTCGCTTGCGCCAGACTGGTGTCTCCGGCGTCAGCGCCACGGTTCGACACGAGCGCCCTGGATGTCATAGTGCACCGCTACATTTCTTCAGTGCATGTTCCGTTTCTCGACAGGGGCCAATACGACACTGCGTACGCATTCTCGAGACAGGCCAGCGTTGACGCAGCGCTGAGGATCTGGCGTGCGACAAGCAGAACCTGGCACCGAGCGCCGCCTAGCGTGGGTCTCGGGTCTGGAAATGGCTTCACGAGCTTGCCTGTGGCTGACAAGTTTGGCCGCTTTGCACGCTGTGGATCGGCGGCCGGCTTCTTCCGCTCCGCCGCTTTCCATGCGAATCTGACTGTAGCGTTCGAGCTGAAGACGCAGCTTCGGGAGCAAGAGAGCCTCGGCCCGGCCATGCTGCGGCCAGACCTCCTGTCTGTGCTGGAGGACGCGAAGAATTTTACTTTGCAATGCATCAACGCGGGTGAGACAAACGTGAAGGGATACATCTTCATCTGCTTGATCACAACGCAGATATACAGCCTGCAACAGGGAATGACCTCAGACCAAGTACGACCTGCCATTGTCAAAGCCGTGGAGGACGCACTGGATGTCGCCTTGCATCGACTCGAAAAGATGCAGAGAACCGGGCCTGGTCGGAAGCCGGCGGACTCGGGTCTTGACAGCACGTATGCAACAGCTCTCACAACTCCATCAGGAGTGATTCCAGGCTACGACTCACATGTAAGATCTCGACGGTGGCTGTTCCATTTCTCCTGCTTACTTTTTTGATGCTAGGTACCGGATCACATGCTTCAGTCTACCAACGAAGCTATGGATCTGATGAACTGGATGATTACGGACGAAGGAACTCTGGGAGCGCTGGATGGGCCGTTCTGGATGGGAGGTATGGGCGCAAGGTAAATTTAAGGAGAGCACTCACGTCACGCTGGTGGCCGCGATGCACGATGACGCGGGTTTCATATGATACATAATACAGAAAGCTAAATACAACTTGAAATACAGAAAAAGAAATTATCAATCTGACTTCCCTCCCATATAAGGGAAAATGAGCGGCTCATCAGTCTCCAAAAAAGTTTCCAGATAGGCGCTGATCAACGGATCCATGCCGGCCTCGACCGCACGCGGAATCCACGCCGCCAAGTCGACACTCTCAAACCGTTCCCCGTACTTTTTATCCATATGCGCCCGGAACTCGTGGATTGGAACCTTGACGCCGCCCGAGTGGTGTCTGTACCTCACTCCAGCACCTCCCTCCTCCTCGTCCGCGAGCGCGAGCACGTCCGCGGCCATCTCCGCGACCACGGCGTCCACCGTGCCGAAGTCGAGGTATCCCCTCGCGCGCTCCCTTGGCAGCGACGGCACGCAGCGCATCTCCACCGCGTACCGCAGTATCACGTTGAGCGCGTCCGTGTTGGGCACGCCGTCGCCGACCAGCGCGCACGGCCTGTGAATCGACACCCTCCACGGCGATGTGACAGCGTTGGTGAGGCTCTCCAGGAAGACCTCGCTGGCCCACTTACTCGCCGTATAGCCCTGGGCGCCGTCCGCGGGCGGCAGGGACGAGGCGACGGAGGACGGCGAGGCGGGCGCGGTCTCCCCGGTGAGGAGAACGACCCGGTTAGAGGAGGCGAAGAAGAGCGGGATCGGCGGCGAGCGGGCGAGCGCGAGCGCGGCGAGGGACTTGGTGGAGCTGAGGTTGGGCGCGGAGAGTGTGGCGTAGGTGTTGAGGCAGTGGCCCGCGGCGCCGGCGTGCACGATGACGTCGACGGACTGGGCGAGGCGCGCGCGCTGGGCGGCGGCGAGGCCGAGGTCGGCGGCGGCGAGGTTGCCGGTGTGGCAGGCGACCTTGCCGCTGCTACCGTTGGCTTCCGAGCCGGCCTCGAGGTGTTCCCGCTCGTCGGCGGGGACGGCGACGCAGTGTATCCTGCTAACCGCAGGGGACCGCAGCAGATGCCGCAGCAGCTGGCCGCCGAGGAACCCCGTGGCGCCTGTCAGCAAGATCTCCAGGCCGCCGGTCGTCTTGCGCGGTCTCAGAGAAGCCGCAGCAGCCGAAGAGTTGAGCTCGTCGGCGCGCGCCAGCAGCTCCGGCGGCACGGCCACCTCGGCCGCCCAGTCAATGTCCTCGGCGGGCGGCTCGTCGCGCCGCTGCCGCTCGCGCTGCGCCAGCACGCACCGCGTCATGCCGCTCAGCGTGCTCGCCTGGTACAGCGCGCGGGTCGGGACGCGCACGTCCATGGCGTCGCGGATGGCGGCCTGCAGTTTCATTAGCAGGAGGGAGTTGCCGCCGCGCAGGAAGAAGTCGGATGCGGGCGTGATGCGGGATCCTGCGGCGTCGCGCGGCAACACGCGCTCCCAGAGAAGACGCAGCTCGCCTTCTTGTATGGTCATCTTCTCGCTGCTGGATGCATGAGCGGCGCAGTCGGAGGTGGGCAGGGGCAAGGCGGCGATGGCTTTTCGGTCCAGCTTGCCGTTGGAGTTGTTGGGTAGTGAGGGGACGATGTGGATGGCGGCCGGGACGGCGAATTGCGGGAGGACCTCGGAGAGGCGGCGGAGGAGCGCGGTCTTGTCAGTCTCTGTACTTTCCTTGCCAGGAGAGAGTGTGCAGTGGGCGACGAGCATGTCCCCACGGCAAGACACACCTGCTGCCTGGAGTAAACCCTCAGACGCCTGGAGAATGGCGGCCTCGACTTCCTGGAGTTCAATTCGGAGGCCCCGGAGCTTGACTTGGCTGTCGCCTTCGATACGCCCGAAGCACAGGAGCGTGCCATCAGGGAGCAGACGACCCGTGTCACCGGTGCGGTAGAACCTGCCGGGCTCGCCGTCGACCTGCACAAACTTGGCCCGGGTCTCTTCGGATAGGCCGAGATAGCCGAGAGCGACACCTGCACCGCCAGTCACGATCTCGCCCGTGTGGTTCACGGGAAGCCATGCGCCGACGGGATCCATGATTCGGATCGAGTAGTTGGCAAGCGGCTTGCCCACAGCGTATCTAGAAACTTCGCTACCAAGCTGTGAGCTGCAGCTGTCCGATTCAAGGTCGATGAGCTGGAAAGAGACCGCGGCCGTGGTTTCTGTCGGTCCATAACAGTTGGTCACCTTCAAGTTCTTACGTCCAAGCCGACGCAGCTCATCCTTCAGTAGCTGCGAGATCGGCTCGCCGCCCATGCAGAGATGCCGCCAGGCCGTAGCCTGCGCGAGGCAGCCCGATCCATACTGCAGCCACGCGAGATACTCTGAAGGCGTGGCGATCGTCAGTGATACCTCGTGCTGCTGCACGATACTTGTCAGCTCTACCGGGTCCCGCCGCGCGTCGGGCGGCACGATGACGAGGCAGCCGCCGTTGCCGAGCGCGCAGAAGATTTGCACGAGGGACATGTCGAAGCCCAGCGAGCTCTGCTGGAGAATAACCTCGTCCCGGTCTAGGCCGAGGTGTGCCGACTTGAGCGCAATGTGGTTGGCAAAGTTGGCCTGCGTGAGCAGCACGCCTTTGGGGGTGCCTGTCGTGCCGCTCGTGTAGAGCAGGATTGCAGGGGCGTCTGGCTGGGCTCGGAGCGGCGCAGAATCTATCTGCTTTGACGAAGGCGGCAGATCATCGATGACGAGCTCCTGAGCCGACTCGTAACCGGGGGTGCTGAGGCGGTGCGTGCGCTCCAAGGTCGCCTTGTGGCAGACGATGAGGCTGGGGGTGCAGTTGGATACGAGGGCGACATGTCGGGCCTCGGGAAGGCTGATGTCTAGAGGAACGTAGACTGCGCCGATGTGGAGGATGGCCAGCATGGCGACGATGGCGTCAACGGAGGGCTCGCAGAGAACGGCGATGCGGGAGCCGACGCCGGAGCCCGCAGAGACGATTGCGCTGGCCACGTCGTTGACTTTGGATGCCAAGCTGGCGTAAGAAAGGGTCATTGAGCCATCCTTGATTGCCGTTCTGGCAGAGTTCTTTTGGCAGATGTTCATCACTCGCTCAGACAAGGTAGCCGGCCATCCAAACTTGATCTCCGGCCCTTTCCCCAGAGTGAGGGCCTCATCGACGTCAGCCTGCCGATACACTGCACATTCACGTACACGCTGCGACGCGTCTGTCATGAAATCGCCAAGCACGTTTACGTACGCGTCCAGCAGCGCCTCACTTCCGTCAATGTTGTACACAGCCTTTTGGCAGAACATCTCCACCCCGAGGCCACCACCGGGCAGCTCCGACAGCAGCACGCTCACCTCAAACGGGTTGTCCGCGTCCTTGATATCCCCCGGCACGAGCTCCATGCGGCACTCCGCCCCGAGCGGCGCCTCGTGCATGAGCGCCGACGCCGGGCGGTAGTTGAGCGCCGCCTGGAACAGCGGCGTGCCGCCGACCGGCCGGGGCGCCTGCACTCGGTCCAGGATACGGTCCAGCGGCGCGGCGCCGTTCGCGAACGCGGCGAGCGCCTTAGACGCCGCGCCCCGGGCGACCTCGGCGAGGCTGGCGCCGGGGCGCACCTGGTTCCGGACCGGCAGCATGTTGACGAAGCAGCCGACCATGCGCGCGGCGCGGGCGTCGCCGCGGTTCGCGTCGACGATGCCGACGCAGACGTCCTCGATGCCGGCCAGGCGAGCGAGCACGACCTGCAGCACGGCGAGGTGTAGATGGAATGGGCTCACGCGGAGCTGTCTACCTGCGGCGCGGATGGCCGCGCCCCGAGCCGGGGGAAGCTCGCGCAAGACACGATGGGTTCCCGCGGCAGCGACGCTGCGCTGCGGCGAGGACACGGAGAGCTGCGGCAGCGGCTCGGGGATGGTCTCGAACTCAGCCTGCCAAAAGGCGAGGGGCTCGTCCAGCGCGCCTTCGCGCTCTTGCTGCCGCTGCGCCTCAGAAAATTCCACGTGCGACCCGGCGGCCGCCTTGTCCAGCGGCAGCATCCGATACGCCCTGTCCAAGTCCGCCAGCACGACAGCCCACCCAATACCATCCATGACGATGTGGTGGTACCCGAACAGCAGCTCGCCGCCGGGTAGCGCGACTATCTCGAGCGTCTCGCCAAGCTCCAGCCGCCACGCCCGCGTCCTCAGCCGCCGCAGCTCCTCTTCAACATCCCCCTCATCTCGGATGGTCATCTGGAACGCCGAGCAGGCCAGCAGGCCCTGCATGGGCTGCCCGGTGTGTGGGTCGGCGCGGAAGCTCATCCGCAGGCACTCGTGGTGGGCGGCAACGGCGTGCAGGGCGCGGCGCAGGCGGGCGAGGTGCAGAGGGCCGCGCACGCGGTAGTGGAAGACCATGTTGTAGGCGTCGGGCTCGGCCATGTGCTCGGCGAGGAACCAGATGCGGGCCTGGGCGGCGGACATGGGCGCCTCACGCAGGATCTTGGGATGGTGGTCTGCGGTGGCTGGCTCGAGTTGGACATGCGCAGAGACCTTGTCTTCCGTCTTGGGCTCGGTAGAGGTGCTTCTCGTGGACTGGCTGTTGCTGTCGTCGGCTTCGGAGGCGGTGCTGCTGGGTGTGGGATTGGTGGCCGAGTCCGAATGCGAATGTGCCGAGGCCTGCATCTCTTGAGTGAGGCTGTCGGCTTTGGCAAGGCTTGAAGTGACTTGAACCTTCTGCTCCTTGTCATCAACCAGCTTGTCCTGTGTCTCTGGAGATGGCAGACCCTGTTCCTTTCCTGCCATCTGGCCCTCCTTTCTTGGACTCTGCTGTCGTGCCAGTTTCGCCGCGAGCGTGGACAGCTGGCCGATGGTACTGCCGCCCAGAATCTTCATTACCGGCACGTCGACGCGCAGCTGCTTGAGGAACCAGGTGCGGATCTCAACTGCCACCAGGGAGTCGATGCCCAGGTCCGTCACCGGCCTTCCCGCGCCGTCCTCACCGATACTACTCGGCGGCAGCAGCAGGATACCCTCCAACTTTGCAGAAAACGCCCGCCGCACCGCCGCCGCCGCCTCCTCCTCCGTACTCGCCTCGGCGACCTGCTGCCCCACGCTCCCCCCTCCCGCGGAAGCATCGGCCGCGGCGCTCTGCTCCACGGCGGTCTGACTCGCCGCCGTCGAGTACGGCACCATGTGTCCGAAGCGCGGGTCCGACAGCCACAGCGCCTTGCGCCTTACCGCCTCCAGGCTCCTGCCTGCCTCCAGGGCTTTGCTCGGGGGTTCAATGCCCATCACGATGCTGTGCGACCCGCCGCTGCGCCCCGGCCTGCCCCCGCGGACGGCCTGCGCGAAGGCATGATGCACATCCGTCTCGGAGAGCGTGGTGACGCGCATCGCATCCCGCTGGGTCAGCGCCCGCGCCTCGTCGACCAGCCGCGCCACGTAGCCCGTCTCGCAGACGAAGCCGACGTGGATGATGGACGCCGCGAGCCCGCGCGCGCGCCGCCGGCGCACGAGCGCGTCCATGTACAGGTTGGCGCAGTGGTAGTTGGCCTGCCCGGCATTGCTGGCCACCGTGGCCGCCGAGCCGAGCAGCACGAAAAAGTCCAGCGCCGCATCGTCTGAGAACAAGGCGTCGAGGGTCTCGGTGCCGTCGACCTTGGGACCGAGCGTGTCGTTGAGGATGTCGACGTCCATGTCGAGGAAGAGCTTGTCGCGCAGGACCATGGCGGCGTTGCAGACGCCGGCGATGGGCGGCATGGTCGCGCGTATGGTGTCGACGAGGGCGTGCACGGCGAGCCGGTCGCAGACGTCCATGGGGAGCACGCGGACGTCGGCGCCGTGGTGGGCGGCCTCAGCGAGCATGACCGGGTCGGCGGTGGGCGTGCGGCTGGTGACGACTACGTGGCGCGCGCCGTTGCGGACCATCCACCGGCAGATGGAGGTCCCGACTCCGCCGGCCGCGCCGACCATGAGGTAGGTCCGGTCACTCCGGAACATGCCCTGGGTCTCGAGCGGCGGCGTGGCCACCTGTACGGCGCCGAGGTCCTGCCAGCTGGTGATGTAAACGCTGCTCGCGAAAGAGTTGCTTGGTCTGCCGGCAAGCTCTGTGGCATGGAACCTATCAACGCGGCTCGGTTCTCCAGCGTCAGGACATGTCACTGACTTGGCATGGGAGTAGGCACTCGCAAGGGCTGCTGAGAATTGCGGCAGTTCCAGCAGCAGAGAGGCATCCAGGCGGCGCACTCGGCGCGCCGCCGGCAAGCAGGACACTATCATCTTGCGCCCGTCAACAGACTCGCCAGTACCGAGACAGTCGATGAATACTTGGACGCCATAGGGTAGTGCCTGGCTGAGGGCAAACTTGCTGGACAGAGGATGGACCTTGATCCAGTCGTCCGGAACCCAACGCTGCGAGGAGGCAAAGTAGACCTTGTTGTCCCTGAAGGTGCTCTGTGTCGAAATGAGCTGGGCAAGTCTTTCGTCGGCGCCGTAGATAAGAGCCCTTGCCTTGTGCTCCCCGGTAGGATTGAGCTGAACCTGAACGGCTTGTGCGGCGAGGTGGTCAAAGATTCGTAGCAGCAAGTCCGGTTGCATGTCATCGTCCGCCACCACGGCTGCGGACGCCGAGGGGACCTCGATTATTGACGCATTGACCGTAGACACAGCCAACACCGCATTTGGAGTTCCATCGGGGGCTTCCGTAGGCAGGGTCCAGCCGCAGACGAGGTACAGGTTGGTCCCGTCCGGCGCCTGGGGCACATGTAGAGTGAATTCGACTTTGACGCGGACCGTAGAGTCAGTTCCATTCGCAAGACTGGTTTGTTCATCAGCCGGCTGTAGCTGCATCTTGGTCGGCCCGGCCACCGCCTGAACAGGCACGCAGCTGGCGTCGACCGTCTTTGCCACTGTCCGGGACGATGCATTGTAGGTCTCGTTGAGGGACCTGTTGAGCCTGACGCGAGGAATCATGACCGTACCGTCCGGGAGAATGTCAATCTCTGGCTCGTGCGACCATAGAGCCGACTGCTGCGCATCGTCGCCGTCGCTATTGGTCGCGATTCTCGTATGCTCGGACTGCAGCCGCAGGAATGCCTCGAGGAGATGTCTTGCGGTCGAAGAAGGCACCGTAGCCGGCTCGACGCCGATGACCTGGGTGTTGATTTGGGGGATCTCTCCGGCCATGACGCGGGTGATGCCCCGGAACATGGCCGCCCTTGGGGTCGCGGAGCCGGAGGTCTGGGCATGTGTCACCCACAAGAGGTTGGCCGTGTTCATCAGCAGCGTCTGCAGAATCTGTAACCTCCTCGGCGTCATCGGCGTGGCAAACAGCGCCGCGTCCAGCTCCTGCAGACAAATCACGTCGCAGCGCGCCGGCAGAGCCTCGACGTCCAGGCTGTCCACGCAGTCCACCAGCCGCACCCTCTCCCTCCAGCGGCGCGGCAGCAACTTGCGGACCTCCTTGAAGATCCTCGCCGTCGCCGTCATCTTTCCTCCAATCAACAGCAGCGGCATCTCCTCCTCCTCCTGCTCCTGCAGCTCCGCCATCTCCGAGAGCGGCGAGACGCGCGCCCAGAACCGCTCATCCACCGCCTGGCTGACAATCAGCGAGATCTGCCTCCCGCCCTCGCCGCCCTCCGGGATGTCGTGCGCCACGTGGTCCGCGCCGGAGAACCCCGCGCGCCGCAGCTGCGCGTCCCAGCGCGCCGTGGACAGCAGCGGGCTGCGGCGGCGGTCCTCCTCCTCCGCGAGCCACCAGCCCTCGAGGCCGCCAAAGTTGAACGTCGCGCAGAGGCTGCCGGCGCCGGTGTGCTCGTTGAGGACCAGGTAGCCGCCGGGGCGCAGCAGGGCGCGCACGTTGCGCAGCGTGACGGCCATGTCCCGGGTGGCGTGGAGGACGTTGGCGGCGATGATGAGGTCGTACGAGTGCGGCGCGAAGCCGGGCTGCGAGGCGAGGTCCTTCTCGACGTCGAGAGCGGCAAAGACCATCTTGTGCCTGGAGTCGGCGAAGCGCTCCATGGCGGTCTCGAAGAAGCCGACGGACAGGTCGGTGTAGGTGTAGGTGTCAAAGGCATCGTCGAGAGCATGCAGCACGGCGCTGGTCTGCGATTGATCAGTACGCGTCACTCACTCATCCCATCCATCTGTAAGCCACATTCAAGAAGGGAAGGAACTCACCGTGGCACCTGTTCCCGCGCCAATCTCCAAGATCTTGCACCGAGGGAACTTGAACGAAATCTCCTTGACAGCGTTGGCCAGGAAGATGTTGACCTGCTGCATGCCCTTGTCCTCCGCGTAGAAGCGATCCAGCATGTTATCAACCCTCATCACCTCGAGCATGTGCTTCTCACCGCGAACCACACTCGCCATATTCCTTCCCACCGCGTGCAGCATCTGCAGCTCCACCGTCTTGGGGAACGCCGCATCAATCGCCCGAACCACCTCGTCGTCGTCCGCCAGCCACTCCGCTCTCAGGTGCGGATGCACGCCGCCCTTCAGCCGCTCTAGGTGGTGATCCAGCGCCTGCAGCAGCCTCTCGTGGTACCAGCTCGCCCTCGCCCTGTCCTCCGCGCTCAGCTCCGCCATCAGCCGCCGCGCGTAGAACAAGCTCACGCGCTCACTCGCCTCCGCGAGCCCCTTCACCGTCGCGTCCGCCGCCTCGTCGCGGATCGGATCGGAAAGTCCGCCCGCAACAGAGACGTCCGGGCCCCATGCTGTCTCGGCGAAGATGAGCCGGTCGGCGGCGGCGTCACGCTCGCCGACGGAGCGCACCTCGAAGCCCTCGACCTGCAGCAGCGGCGCGCCCGTGTCCGCGTCGTGCACGTCCAGGTTGCCCGTCACCGACGTCGCCGTCTGGTGCAGGATCCACGAGTCCACCTCCGCACTGAGGATGCCGTCTATCCGCTGCATCGCGGGCGATGGCGCGACGCGGACGCGCTCGATGCGCGAGGGCAGCAGCGCCGCGTTGACCTGCCCGCTGTCCGGATGCGCGTGGGCCACGAAGATGGTCTGGAAGGCGACGTCCAGCACGGCAGGATGCACCATGTACGCGTCGCCGAGGTCCGCAGCGGCCCACGAAGCAGAGGCCGTGGCGTGTCCGAGGTGCCGCCGGCTGCTGGTCATGCGCCGGAAGATGCCCGAGTACTCCAGCCCGATGGTCCCGAACTGGGCGTACAGCTTCTCGCAGTCAATCTCCTGGAGGTTGGGCGCTGGCGCCTGTCTCTGCGGGAGCTGCGGCACGCTTCCTTCATCCTCTGATTCTGAGCCGAGGCGCGGACCGAGGTGCACGTCGATGAGGCCCTCGCAGGTATGCGCGATGGCCGTGCTGGACGCGCTGCTGTACACGCAAAACGAAAACGACGCCTTGATCAGCCCCCCGCCGGACTTGTAATCCGTCGAAAGATCCTCCTTTAGGATGCGAACAGTGAAGAGCGTCTCCGTCGCGTCCTTGCCGTCCGCCACCACCACCGGCCGCAGGATGTCCACCTCGGACACCTCAAGCAGACGGGCCTCCCGTCCCCGGTCCTCCGCCAGCCGCCGGCCCGCCTCCAGCGCCATACTCACGTACGCGGCGCCTGGCAGCAGCACCTCGCCGAGGATGGTGTGGCCGCGCGTCCACGGCAGGTCCCGGACGGCCAGCAGGTTGCGCCAGCGCACCTCGCGCTCGTTGTCGTCCACCGCGCGCCGGCCGAGCAGCTCATGGTAACCATCGCGGCCGGTGCGGTACCGCTTGGAGATACGCGACTCACGCCAGTGCGTCTCCTCGTGGTCCCAGGCATACGCGGGCAGGTCCGGCACAAATGTCACCGGCCCCTCCTGGTCGTGGCCGGTCTCGGAGAACACCGACCGGCAGTACCCGGGCACGTCGACAAAGTCCGGGCCGAGGTGCGCCCACACACTACCGATGGCCGTGGAAAAAGACACCGCGTCGGGGGCGTCACGCTTAAGCACGCCCGTGTAAAAGGGCACGGAGCCGTACACGCCTTTCAGCGTCTGCTCGGTCGGCCCCTTGAGCGCCGGGTGCGGGCCGACCTCGACAGCCAGGTCGAACGGCCCGCCGTGCCAGATGGACGCCTCCAGCGCGCGGCTGAACTGCACCGTCTGCACCATGTTGGCCACCCAGTACGGCCCCTTGAGATCCTCCAAGCTCCGGTCCGCCCGCAGCAGCTCCGCGTCGCCGCGCACGCTCGAGCTCCACTGACACGTCCCCGGCGTCGGCCGGCTCACCTGGACGTCGCATTTGCGGATTGACTCGAGGTACGGCGCCGCGCACGGCAGCATATGGTGCGAGTGGTACGCCGTGTCCACCCGGAGCTCCCTCGCGAACGCGCCCTGTGCGACCAGCATCTCCCTCGCCGCCGCCACCACCTCCTTATCACCAGAGAGCGTCACGCTCTTCGGGGCGTTGCAGGCCGCCACCTGCAGCCGGCCGGTGAACTCGGGCCGCGCACAAAGTTCCCGCGCTTCAGCTGGCGAGAGCCCGACGGCCAGCATGCCGCCCGCCTCTCCGGCCGGCCCGCGCGCCAACTTGGCGTGGAAGCCGCGGTAGTACGCAATCTGCATCGCTCCTTGCAGCGTGATGATGCCCGCCGCGTAGGTCGCCGCGATCTCGCCGGAGGAGTGCCCGACCACGGCGTCGAAGCGCAAACCCGCGGCCCGCAGCGCCCCGACCAGCGCCAGCTGCACCGCCGTGCACAGCGGCTGCGCGATCGCCGCCTCCGCCAGCCGTGACGCCGGCGCCTCCTTCGTTAGCTCCTCCGCCAGCGACCACTCCGGCGCGTCGTCCCCCGGTAGGGCCCGCAGCACGCCCTCGCACTCGGCGATGGTCCGCCGGAACAGCGGCGAGGCCCGCATCATGTCGCGGCCCATGGCGGGCCATTGCGCGCCCTGCCCGGTGAACACGCCCAGCACGCCCGGTGTCTCCTTGGGGTCAATGAGCAGCGGTGCGTGTCCGATGCGGCCCTGTGTCGCCGCGGATTTGGCGTCGGCGGCGTGCGTCCGCACAAAGGCATCCATGCTGTCGAGGAGCGCCTCGCGGGAGGCGCCGGAGAAGTGCGCGCGGACGCGGTGCGTCGAGCGTCGCTCATGCAGAAACCTGCTCAGGTCTGCAAGGCTCAGCTCGGGATGCTGGCGCAGGTGTCGCGCGTAGGCGTCGACGGTGCGCCACAGGGCGCCGCCGGTTCGTGCGCTCAGAAGGATCGGGGCCGGGATGGACACGTCACTGCTGTCTCGGTGTGTTATCGGGCGAGACAGGTGAGGGATCCCTGCTTTCAAGGCTACCACGTAGCTCTGGGTGGCATCATAGCGCTCAATGATAGCGTGAGCATTGGTGCCTCCGAAGCCGAAGCTGTTCACACTGGCCCGGAGCGGCACCCCGGGAGCGAGCTTGGGCCTGCACAGGATACAGTCAGCCAACATCTCACACAATACGTGCGAAGAACTTACCAAGGCTTCGCCTTCGTGGGAATATTCAACGGTCCGTAGTACTGCGCAATATCCGGGTTCAGCTCGTTGAACAGCAGGTTCGGCGGAATCACGCCGTGCTTCAAGCTCAGCAGCACCTTGATCACACCGGCCAGGCCCGCGCAGCCCTCCAGATGGCCGACCACCGTCTTGATCGAGCCCACATACAGCGGCTGCTTTACCGTCGGCACGCCCTCTTCCCCCCTGTGCCCCTTGACGAACGCCTCGCTGATCGCGCGCGCCTCCACCGGGTCGCCGGCTTTCGTCCCCGTGCCGTGACACTCAAAAAACTGGGGCCGGTCCGCCACCGGGTCCAGCCCGGCCTCCTCGTACGTCCTCCTAATCAGCGCCGTCTGCGCCTCCGCGCTCGGCATCGTCAACCCGCCCCCTCCGCCCGTACCATCCGAGTTGACCCCCGTCGCGCGCACCACGCCCGCAACCTCATCGCCATCGCGCAGCGCATCCCGCAGCGTCTTCAGCACCACCGCCGCCACGCCCTCGCCGCGCGCGTACCCGTCCGCTTCCTTGTCCCACATCCGCGAGCGCGACCCCGGCGAGAGCATCCCCAGCTTCGCCTCGAACACGAACGGATCCGGGTCGAGGATCAGGTTCACCCCCGCCACCACCGCACGCGTGCAATCCCCTGCGCGCAGCGCCCGCGCGGCAGAGTGCAGCGCGACCAGCGAGCTGGAGCACGCCGTGTCGATGGTCTCGGAGGCGCCGCGCAGGTCGAAGACGTAGGAGACGCGGTTGGCGATGATGGAGGCGGCGGCGCCGGTGGCGGTGTGGCGCGGCATGGTCTCCGGGTCGCGCCGCTGGAGGTGCGACCAGTCGTTGGTCATGACACCGACGTGGACGGAGGTGGGCGAGCCGCGGAGCTGCGCTAGCGGGATGCCGGCGGCCTCGGTGGCCTCGTGGACGACTTCGAGGAGGAGCCGCTGCTGGGGGTCCATGCCGGCAGCCTCGAGCGGGGAGATGCCGAAGAAGCCGGCGTCGAAGCGGGCAACGTCCTCGTCGAGGACGTACGCCCGGTTGGCGACGTTGGTGGACCCGTGCCGCTCGCCGTCCGGGTGGTAGTAGCGGTTCAGGTTGAGGCGCTCAGGGGGCAGCTCGCGGAGGACGTCGCGGGGTTCGCGGAGCAGGTCCCAGAGCTTGGACGGGGAGGAGGAGCCGCCCGGGAATCGACATGCCGATCCAACAATGGCGATCGGCTCAGGCACGCGGGGCGACCCCGGTTCGTGCTGCGTTGTCGGAGACATTCTGAAATCGCTGCAGGTCTGAGACAATAGGGTCTAGTTTGTTTTTTCAAAGAGAATCCAGACAAGAAAGATTTTTGGTATGGGTAAGGATTGGTCTGGGTGTGAATACTCTATAGACAGAACATTGTTCGCTGCCTCTGTTTATCTTTGGCTCATCTAGTAAACTCTGTACTAATATCATCTTTTATTTTAAACTGGCCAACATCAGCCAAATCCATACTCCGTGCCTGCAGTGGGCATGGACCCGTTCAGCTCAACGCCTTCCCATCACCTTTGTTATTATCCGAAGACCAAGTTTAGACAAGGCTGGAGCCTGGTTTTGATTCTCCGAGAGGGTTTCAATCTCTCTTCCAATAAATTCTGTCAAGATTGCATGTCAGCCCCGGCAATATTTCCCGGACACGGCCGCGTTCCTTCTCATGCAGGTCAGCCCAAGGAATATTCCGCGCGGAGCCTTGTCCGTGAGTCCGTTACCTGGGGCAGAGTGCAGGTCGTATAATGGAATCTTCAGCCATTAAAGCGTTTATAAAAATAAAATTACCAAGTGCCCTTACATAATCCCAAGACATTGATGAATCCGTTCAAGTCCAATGCGCATGCCAACAAACCTCCAGCATCCCAACATGACGGCCATCGCCTCCCTGCCACGCAGCCAGAATGCTCTCAAGATAGTCAGCCCCAACACCTTTCACGTTGATGCCAACGCCCCCCTTCCTACCCTCGTTGACCATGACTCCGTCTTGATCCGCGTCGTCTGCGTCGCCATCAACCCGGTGGACGGCAAGTCGGCCGACCTGTCCGCCACCGCCGGCGCGACCAGCGGCACCGACTTTGCCGGCATCGTCGTCGCCCTCCCGCCCGACACCAACAGCGAGCCTGACGACGACGCCCTCAAGATCGGCGACCGCGTCATGGGATTCGTCTTCGGCAACAACCCGCAGGGCCGCGACAACGGCGCCTTCGCCGAGTACGTCACCGTCCCGCGACGCCTCCTCTGGCGCTTGCCGGCACACATGTCCCTCGAGACGGCCGCCTCGCTGCCCGCCAGCCTCGCCTCCGTCGGCATGGCCATGCACTACCTACAGATCCCCCTGTCCTCCCTGCAATCCGCCATCTCCAAGTCCATCGCCTCCTCCTCCGCCGCCGCCGCCGCCGACGACGAGGGCCCCTTTGTGCTGGTCTACGGCGGCGGCACCTCCACCGGCTGCATGGCCATCCAGATCCTCCGCCTCGCCGGCTTCGTCCCCGTCACCTGCTGCTCGTCCTCCTCCGCCGCGCGCGCCTTGTCCCTCGGCGCCGCCGCCACCTTTGACTACGCCTCCGCCACCTGCGGGCGGGACGTCCGCGAGCACACGCACGACTCCCTCGCGCTCGCCATCGACTGCATCAGCGACTCGGCGTCGATGAGCATCTGCTACGAGGCCATCGGCGGGGGAGGAGGGCGGTACGTGGCGCTGGATCCGTTTCCCGTGAGGGGGTGCGTGCGGCGCAGCGTGGTGCCGGACTGGATCTGCACGCTGACCCAGTTCGGGCGGCCGGTCGCGTGGGCGCCGCCGTACAATATCGATGAGAGGCCGGGCGACCGCCGGTTCGCGGAGGAGTGGTATCGGCTGGCGCAGAGGATGCTAGACGCGCATGTTATCAGGGCGCCTACCCTGGAGACGAGGACGGGCGGCCTAGCTTCGGTGCCAGAGGGGATTAGTGAGGTTAGGATGGGCGAGGTGAAGCGAAAGAAGTTGGTTTACAATATTGTAGAGCAGAAGGCAGCTGCATAGACCTACATTGCTGATGCTAAATGAGATATTGGTTGTGCTAGCTTCTAGGTGTGGTTAACATCATGTTGCAATTCGTCAGCTATGAAGCAATCTCGTTCAAAATTCAAGTGTATGTAGAATTTCCAAAGATGCATAGTTTCTAGTGCTTTTTCCAGATGAAGCACTCTTCTATGCCCCAAACTTCAGAGGGGTTTTGCCAGCCAGTCTCTGCTCTACCACGGTGCGCTGACCGGATGCCACCGTGGCTGCATGACAGACAGTGTGCATACAGCCCGGTCATGGCCGTGCTATTGTTCTATTTCGACTTTAACTCGACCCGTCCTTAATACCGAGAAGCTGTAATCCCGAATTGCTGACATGTCCGCAGCGAGACCGTTACTCCGGTAGCGTCCGCAATATCCCGCGAGGCTGCATCATATCCCGAAGGCCCTCTGTGACGAGCCGTCGCTCTGCTGTCGCGCCCCTCATCAGCATCTTCCTTTCGTCTCCCTTTTCTGAGCTTGCTGCAGTCCCTTTCAACTGTTTCCAGAACAGCCATCCTGATTCACAGGAGCCGCTTCTACCCCCGAAAACAGAATGGCCCTCTCCGCGGCAGCATCCACGCTGGCCCGTCTCGGCTACTACGAGAAGCTGGCGGGCATCCTGGGCATCATTGGCCTCGTTCTTCTCTTCTGGCAGCGCACTCGCCAGCCCTTCTACCCCGACCTACCGCTCGCGGGGGAAACTCCGCACCGGCGCTGGTTCTCCCTGCGCACCCGCTTCCGGTACTACACCGACTGCGCTTCGCTCTTCAACGAGGCGTACCACACTGTGCGTTTCCATGCCTCCACGTCTTCTTCCTCGACCCTATCACGGCTTAATGCTCATGCTTCACAGTACACCAAACATGGCAAGGGAGTCCTCCTCCCGTCCGTCGGCGTCCACACCGCCGTCGTCATGCCCGAGAGCGCCCTCGACTGGGCCATGTCCCAGCCCGACTCCGCGCTCAGCATCACCCACGCCTTCGCCGACCTCAACCAGACCCGGTACAGCCTCGGCGACGCCCGCTACTGGCGCGACCCCTGGCAGCTGACCCTCGTCAAGGCGCACCTCGCCGCCGTCACCCCCGCCCTCGTCCCGCAGCTCAACGACGAGCTCGCCGACGCCTTGGCCAAGCGGCTCGGCACCGACACCGACTCCTGGCGGGAGATGGAGCTGGAGACGACCCTGCGAAGGGTGGTCGCGCAGACTCTCAGCCGCCTGATCGTCGGCCCGGAGCTGTGCCGCGACGAGGGCTACCTGGACCTCGCGTACAAGGTCGTGCTCGGCGTCATGACCACCATCTTCGCTACGCTGCCGTATCCGGACCTTGTGCGGGCCGTCACCGGCCCGCTGGCCAGCTGGCACACGCAGCGCCGCATCTCCAGGATCCAGCGGCACCTGGAACCGCTCTACCGCGAGCGCCTCGCCATCCTCCGGAGCGCCAAGGAGGACCAGCCGCCGGACCTGCTCATGGCCATGATGCGCTTCGCCCAGAAGAAGCGGCCTGAAGAACTCGCCGACCCGGCAATCATCGCGCGCCGCGTGTGTGCCGCCAACTTTGTCGCCATGCACCAGACCACCATCGTCCTCACCAACATCATCCTCCACGTCCTCGGCTCCGACGCCGAGTTTTCCACCATCGCCGCGCTCCGCTCCGAAGCCGCCGCCCATCTCCTCTCCTCCGAGCGCATCACCAAGGACGCCTTCGCGCAGATGAAAGTCGCCGATAGCGTCGCGCGCGAGGCCACGCGCCTCAACTTCCCGCTCGGCGGGCGCGCCTCCCCGCGCACCGTCATGCGCGACGGGCTGGTCAGCCCGGAGGGCATCCGGCTGCAGCGCGGGACCACCGTCTCCTGGCTGGCGGGGTGCGCGCAGCTCGACCCGGAGGCGTTCCCGGAGCCGCGACGGTTCGACCCGTTCCGCTTCTCCCGGGGCGACGGTGACGGGGAGGGAGAGCGGGACACGTTCGTCAAGACGTCGGCGCGGTACCTCCCGTGGGGGCACGGTAAGCACGCCTGCCCGGGGCGCTTCGTCGTCGACTACGTCGTCAAGATGGCCCTGGCTCAGCTGGTGACCAAGTACGACCTGGCGTGGCCGGAGGATTACGGGGGAAAGCAGCCGCCAAGCGTCTGGTTGGCGGAGCTGTCCGTTCCTCCACCAAGAGCGCGGATCATGGTCAGGAGACGCAAGGTGTAAGTTTTATAGTAGTATTGTTGTATGTAGTACCAGTCTTATCTTAGGTCAAGTTGTACCTCTTCTACTTGATTGTGATCAAGTTACTTGTCGTATATATATATATACTATTCCTCTGATAGAGACTTGACACTACGTTCAGTGATACCCCAATACATACGAACCGCATACATTTGACTACTACTTCTACTAACATCACTACTACTCCTCCTCCTACTACTAATACCACCACTCCGCCTCCTCCTCCTACTACTACTACTATTACTACCACCACCACTACTCCTTGTAAAACGCAATCTTGACCCCGTGCAGGCTCGACGGCCCGATGCGCATCCTCGCCCTGTACGGTTCCTTGTCCCTTGCCTCGATCCGCGCGTACCTTCTCGCCAGCCGACACAGCATGTAGCCGCTCTCGTTCTGCACCATCATCTGCGCCGGGCACCGGCGGGGCCCGCCGCCGTACGGCAAAAAGTGCCACCCGCCGCGCATCCCGTCCCACCGCTCCGGCCGGTACTCGTCGGCGTCCGCGCCCCACCGGTCCGGGTCCCGGTACATGACCGTCTTGGTCACCGACACAATGTCGCCCTTGCGCACGTCCAGCGGCGCCTTGCCGTCCGGTCCGCCGCCCAGCGGGAGCACCACGTCCGACAGCGCCGACCGGATCTGCGTCACGTTGTTGGGGATCAGGCGGTGCGCTGCGTGCGACCCACCCCAGGGAGTTAGCAACGACGCTCATCTTTCGATTGTGTGCGGCAAAGAGGTAAAGGGGAGGGGAGGGGGGCTCGTACTTTCATTCATGATGCCATTAAGGTACTTCATGTTCCGCAGCAGCTCAAACGTAATCGGCGCGTCGCCCACCGCCGTCACCTCCTCCCTCAACTTCCTCCACGCGTCGGGGTGGCGCGCGAGAAAGTACAGGCAGTGCGCGATGAAGATGGACGTCGTGTCGTTGTTGGGCACGAAGATGATGCACACCTGCGACCGCAGCGCCTCCTCCTCCGGCAGCATCGTCGCCATGGACCAGAGCAGGTCCGTCCGCTCCTCGCCGACCGGCAGCCCCTCCTTGACGCGCTGCTGCCGCTCCGCCAGCTCCGCCAGCGTCGACCGGATGTACGGGTTCAGGAAGCCGTGCACCTTCTCGATGGCCTTGAACCACCAGTCCCAGTTAAAGGCCCAGAGGATCTTGTACGTCTGCGCCCGGAGCCGGGTGCCGCGCAGGACGTCCGCCATGGCCCATATCACCTCGGCGCGCTCCGGATGCGTCATCGAGTCTTGGGACTTGCCAAAGATGAATTCCGAAGTCATATCGAGGAACTAACACCCCTTGTTAGCGTGTGCATCTCCCTTGAATCATGCCATGCGGCTTTCGGCAGCGGCGCACACACCCATCGCTGCAGCAGAGGCTGAATGTCAAACGTCTCGCCGTCTTCCGGGATAAACGTCAGGAACTTGTCCGCGAACGGCTTGACGCGATCCGTGCTGACGTAGACGCTGCGCTCAAAGAAGGGCTTGATCAGGCTCCGGCTGAAGGCCCAGTCCTCGCCGTCACTCGTGCTGACGCCCTTCTCGGCAAAGGGCTTGAAGCCCGGCGGGTGCTGCCGGATCGGCTCGACGCCAAAGTCCTGGAAGTTGGTCGCGTAGACGGCCTTGAGGATCTCGGGCTCGATCGAGTAGATCCAGCGGTAGCCGCCAAAGTTGACCGAGAAGGTCTTGGTCCGCGGCATGCTCGCGTGCAGGTCCCGCAGCCACTCGAGGTACCGGTTCTGCTGCAGGGCCCGGCCCTGGCTGATGGGGATGTCGAGCCCGAAGAAGACGTCCCATTGGAAGACGCGCGGCTCAGGCAGGCAGCCTTTGGCCGTGGGCCTGCGGTCGCGCCTGGTAAAGGGTAGGAATCGGCTCAGCAGTATGGCGGAGAGACATGCTGAGAGGATGAGGTAGGGGAAGTTGAGGTTTGCAAGAGTTGCAACCATGTTAGACGAGCTACAGGGTTTCTTGGAGCACGGGAGACGCTGTTGGTGTCACTGATGAGGATTACAGGTCATAAAGTAAAGTTTGCAGACTGGAACTGCAGAGTGCAGCAGCGGCTGGTGCCGGAGAAAGCATGGTGGCAATACGCATGCATTCTCTGCGACGATATTCCGGGAATACCAGTCCATCATGTTGCACTCACGGAGAGTCGCGGCCCTCGACGGGATATTCAACCCCCAGCCTCAGCGGCTGCGGGAATTTCGAACGGCCCTCGATCGATGCAGGCTGCGAAGGATGAGCGAAGGATGAATTCGGAGCCGGAGGGAGGGCATTCCTTTGAAATTTCCAATTGGCCACGGATTTTATCAGATATGGAGCCGCTTACGCCATGGCATCCTTCGTCTCGACAACTATCAATCACCATCAGATTATGGAGCCTGCAACCACACACACCCTTCTCGCAGAAAGAAAGGCGCTGACGCATAAAAAACGAGAGGCAGGCGCCCGTCGTCCGATTTCCCGACTGAGTGACATGCAGCTGACGGGCGCTCTCGTGTCATAAATAAGTCGGCTCGGATATGTGCTCACGATGATTGGCCAAAAGTCCATTTTCTGGTGCTGCATGGACTGCTGACGCTCTTGGCAATATCAAAGTGCTCTGCCAAGTATCGATAGCAGTTTCTTAAAACCCGGCAGCGTGCGTGCGTACATAGATGAACAACCAGCTAGGCTGGTCAGGCTGCCAGGCTACCTCTCTGGCGACACGGCAACGCTGCGAGTCAACGCAACGACGGCAAAGAAGAAAGGAAGAAAAAAAAGTGTCCTGCCTCTCTCTACTTGCCCGGATCCCGCGTGGATGGCCAATGTTAGCAAGCCGCCGCCCGGTTTGGGGGCCAACTTGCCCGCGAATCTACCAAATCGGTGCTACTGGCGGCGGCAGATACCGCAAGGCAGCAAGCATCCCAACACAATATCTAGTCCAGACGGCACCGTTGCATGGCGTCGATTCAATGACTAATAACGAACAGCATACTCTGTAACAAGGCTCACACCCACAGCTGCAAGCCACGCAGCGAAGGGTAACATCGGAAAGGGTTCCGCAGGGCGTACCTATGTGGTCCGACTTGCCGGCTCTGTCTCAAAGCAGGCAGTCCCCGTACCCTCCCCGCCCTCAACAATGGCCTTCACGAATTGTTTTATCTCTTGGTGGGCTCGGTAGCTGGCGGGCAGAGAATCCGTACCCCTTCATCAGACGCGCCGGCTCGTACAAGCCTACAAGAGCCAGCCCTCAGCAACTCGCTCTGGATGCCAGACGCGGGCAAGGCCCTTCTTTGCTGGGGGCTTCGAGAGGGGAACAGGCTGCGCAGCCGCATGAGGCTGAGTACGGCTGCTTGGAGCAAGTTGAAAACCGAGGGAACTCATTTATATCCATTGCATCTGTCTCAAAAGCAGTAGCCCATGTGTAGTTGGTAGTAATATTTCATCAAAAAATCCACCCGCGGTTAGCAAGACAAGAAAGCAGACAGGTCGTACGTACAGTTCGTTCATTTCCCTGCCACACATCATGGAACCAGGTCCGGCACATAGACGACGTCGGCCGGCTGTCTCATGCAGTGAGTGTCGTCGGCGGAAAATTCGATGCGACCGTGGCTTTCCGTGCGGGCCGTGTCGCAAGTCCCTGCCGATGCTGTCGTGCATCTATCACAGCCAACCTCGTCCTGTGCCTCACGCAAACACAGCCTCCTCCTCCTCCTCCTCCATCTCCTCCTCTGCACTGCCGCACGCACACGCCTCACAGCATCAGCCGCGTCCCCCGACCAGCAGCAGTACCAGCAGCGCCAGCACAGCCCGCCATCTTGACCTTGCCAAGGTTGATCTCCTTGGCTTTGAGCCCGACGCGTTTGCGGGCATCGGCCAGATCGGCCTCGACTGGCAACCCAACTGGCAGCAGCAGCATCGTGGCCTCACGCCGCCCACGGCCTTCTTGGCGGAGGCGGAGGCAGAGGCGGAGGCGGAGGCGGAGGCGGAGGCGGTCGACTACTTTCCGGTCCCGACCTTTCCGATCGCGGGAAGTTGTATCCAGAAGAGAGCAGATCTGCATCAGACGCCACGTGGATATCCCGGTTCGCCGGAAACGACGCGTCACAGTCCCGCCTGCCATCCAATGGCTGTCTGCTCAGACTATGGTGACGACGTCTGGTGCGCAACCTTGGGGAGGATACCCAAGCTCGCCTCCCTTGTCGACGGCATGTCCAAGACGGAAGACGCCGCCAAGTCTCAGCAGGAATCGCAGTATCGCCGCACACGCAAGGGCGACGAGGGCGACGACACCCCGAGCCTGCCACCGCTCGCCGGTGTCGTCATCAAGCTACAGCACCAAGCCCGGCTGGAGAGGGAGCAGGGTGATAGGCAAGGCTTGGCTCGTCTATCACCGCTGCTAAGACGTTCTTCCAAGATTCAGCAGCTCTTGCCACCACGTCAGGCCTGCAGAAAGCTCATCAACGCGTACTTTGAGACCTTTGGCTCTGTCCTCTGTATCCTCGACGCGACGGAATTCTTGGACGACTTGGAGCGACTCTGGGAAGGAGGGGACGCGACCCAACCTTCGGCCACCACGGAGAGGGATGAGTTCCACGACGAGGCTTTTGCTCACAAATTGCTCGTCATCGTCGCGCTCGGCTCCGTCACCTCCCCTGGCAATCACGGAGCGGGCGGTGGCGCTGCGGAAGCGGAACGGACGAGACAGGCAAGCCGACGAAACCATGCCATCATATGCGTGCAATACACCCGGCAGTGGCTGGCGGAGAAGATGGCGAGAGGGATCCGTGCCGATATCGACGTTGCCCAGATCCTCTGTCTTCTGGCGCTCGCACGTCTGACGCAGTTGCATACCGATCCCTCGCCGCGCCGGCCCGGCAGCAACAGTGCAATACTGCTTACCGGAGACCACGACCTCGCGCGTCTGGGGATGCAAATGGGACTGCACCGAGAACCACCGCATTCACCGTCAGCTGCAAACACCACCACCGAGACGGAGATGCGCAGGCGGCTGTGGGCGACTATGCTCGAGCTGTCCCTGCACCAGTACCTGGACGCGGGCCTTCCCCCGCCCCTCGGCGCCGAAGGCTATGGCTGTGCAGCACCTTCACCCGGCGATCCCGAACAAGACTTCAGATCGTACCTGGCGCCAGGCGATCAGCGAGTGCCCGCATCGACCATGCTTGCCGCGCTGTCGCGTACGCAGCGCCTGCGACTTCGGATTCTCCAACACCTGCATGCTCCGGATGGGAGCGCGGGCACCTCGGAGAGTCACCATCTCGCCATCGAGCTGACCAGAGCCTGCAACGCCGAGGCGAGCCGTCTGCTGCGCTCGGACGCGGTGCCGCCGCCTACGCACTTCCAACTCTGGCTGCTCAACGTCCTGACACGGCCCTTTGTCCTCGTCCTCAGCAACGTGCCCGGCGGCGGCAACGCGGAGGACACACTCTCCAGCTACTTCTTGCGTCGTCTGAGCATGGAAAACGTCGTCTCGATCCTGCGGCCGAATCCTCACGAGGACACGCCGAGCCCCAACATGCACCCGCACACGCCTGCCCACCACAACCCGCAAGCGGCGCCGCAAAGTAGACAGGGCGCAATCTCGTACCCGTTCCTCCCGACGCCGAGCACGGCCGGGCCGAGCGACGAGAGTGCTTCACGGTACGAGGGGATGCACAAGGCTGCGCGTGCCACGCTCTGCATGCCCGGCGGCGGCTTGAGCTACTTCGCCGTGGTGCACCGGCAGCTCGTCGCGACGCTCTGCGCAGACGTGGTGGCCGAGATGCGGCAGGGCTCGCCGCTGTTTCCGATGCTCGACACGACCATGCGTCACGCCGTCGTCGCCATCCTCGCGGACGCAGTGGGCGAGTACCGCGAGCAGGTGCGCGCCTCCGGTGGCGTCGACGCGTGTCGCGAGCTCGTCCTGTTCGCGGCCGCGCACGGTCTCGCGTCGGTATTGATCACCCGCGGCGACTCTGACGCTGCGCACGAGGTAGACGCGGCCACATGGGCGGCGCTGCGGCATTGCTGTGCGGCGCTCGGCGAGCCGGCGGACGGCATTCTGGAGATGGAGTGGCAGCGTAGCGCGGCGGACACGGCGGCGGCCAAGCCACGGCTCAGGATGGAAGGCATGCTGGACGTAAACGAGGAGGATGGTAATGTAGACGCGCAGTTGATGCACAAGGTTGATTTTCTGCTCGAGCAGCAGGATCATCGAGTCCGGGGGCTGGATCTAGCCGCGGTCGATACGGAGATTGCCAACATGTGGGCTTTCGACGACGACGAGTCGTACTTTTCTATAGACATTACACTGTGAGAGCATAAAAGGTTAGATTTTCGGGTATATGCAGGAATTATGGTTTTCTGTTCCTACCTCAGAGGGCTTCATTTGACGCTCAAGCACATGCAGTCGCAGACGACCATCAGAATGACTTGCCATGCAAGACGATGCTGCGCATGCAAAACAGAAAGGTCCACCGACACACTATGACTGTAAAGATGAAGAAGCCAAATTTCTGTTTCTGGGGCAAAGCGCTGTTGTCCTTGTCAACCATGTTCTTCTCTTTGATCACTATGTGCAGCTTCCAGTGCCAGCAAATCGCGGTGAGTTCTCACCTTGGTCGTCTAATCCGCGTAACGCATAGCCAACCACCACAGCTTGGATGGTTTCGCCGAGATCCGAGGCAAGTCACATTGGCTTCCTTGTCACCCGTCATCTGCTTCCGTCACTTTTGACCAGATATCGATTGGGCGCTTGGCCCACACGAGGTGCATGTCCATGTCCTCCGTGACGACGATCTCACGGGCCATGACGATCTGCTTCCGTTTCCTGCAAGGATTTCGTGGTTTACAGTAACTAAGCGCACTTCCATGATTTCGGTGCAAAAGGACAACACACCTACAATACGTTCTTAGGCGGCGTGCCATTTGGCCGATTTCTAGGGGACAAGTCATGGAGTGCTGCAAAAGTCAGCGCACACAAAATTAGAAGGAAAAAAATCAAGAAAATTTTCCATGCATGTATCGAATGCTTTATGCCTTGAAAATGAGCAAATTCAGCTACCAGCCATTGTCTCCCCAATCTCGAGCCCTCCCTCCCCAGGGCATGCTGGTAGCCGTGCGCCTGACGCCTCCCAGCCTGATTTCTGCACGTCAGCAACAGGCCGAGGATGAGCGCAATTCGAGTCCGATGGAAGCTCAACCTAGTCGAAAGCAAGCCCAAGACGCTTCAGGAAGGCTGGTCGGGTGTAAAAGCAGGATGAGGCCGGATTGCCAGTCAGCTCGCACTGTTCTGTGCTGACACTTGTCAACCCCTGTGGTACCATTGTAGAGATAGAATGTGGGCTAGGATATGCCTCGTTGTTTCTCCAAGATGACGCTGCTCTGGGCTCTCTTACATGATGTTGCCTATCAGGATTCCCATCAACATCTCTGTTGTCATTCTCCCACATTGACTACTGTGATGGATCAACAGATAAAAGGCACAACCTCGCACCGGCCCTTCAGGTAGATCCAGTAAAAAAAATGTAATAAGATGCAGTAAACTAATCTACATACAGCGGGTATTGTTTACTCAAGAACGAAAAAGTCACACAAAATTCATGCCAGTATCCAACATCTATGCGATATAAAACAACCGCCGCCTTCGCTGTGAGCCAGACAAAAACGCCGAGCGCCTCTTTCTCCAATTCCACAACTGCCTCTTCACCACCGCCATGCAACGCATCTTCAGTCGCCCATTTACGTCCCCTTGGCCGTTCGGCGCACCTTTTTCGGACTCCCGCCGCTCGACGACCGCGGGCTGGCATCGGCATTAACACGCATCCGCTCCAGCTTCTTGCCGAGGCTCGACACCGCGTGGCTTGCGGCAGCCGACTCCGGCGCCGGCGAGAAGTCCTCCCTCTCCTCCAGGGGCTTGCGCTTCGTCGGGCTGCGCCCGGCCAGCTCCCGCTTCAGCACCGCATTCTCCCGTCGCAGCCGCTCAACCTCCTGCGAGAGGTCCTCCACGAGGACGTTCTCCTTGTTGTACTCGTCACCGCCGCCGCTGCCATCGTCGCGGGCCGAACTGTCCAGGCCGCGCTCAAGGAGGTCCACCTTGCGGTCCCAGTGCTCCTCGCTGCGCTCCTGCTCAAGCGCGAGGCTCGTCTTGAAGCGAGCCAGCTCCAGCATCAGGGTCTGCTCAAACTCGGCGGCGCATTCGTCGCGGATTGCGGCCTCGAGGTCAATCAGGCGATCCTCCATGCTCAGCAGATGCGCCTCGGCGGTGAAACGCGCCTCCATGTGAGCATCCGTCTCCGCACGCAGCTGGTCAATCTCGTCGCTGAGGCGGGCGATTTCGAGAGCCGCAATCTCCATGGTCGCGCGCTCATCGACAGGTGTATAGTTGCGATAGCTCGAGTTACCACCCGCGGGGACAAATGGGCGCTGGAAATGGTGCTGGGTAGGGCTCACGGAACGTGGACCTGATGTCGATGCAGGGGCGTTGGCGAGTATCGTAGCCGTGATGGAGGGGATTCGCGGGACGGTGACTTCGCGAGCGAGGGCGCTGTAGCGAAGGATCTGGGAGGTGGCATTGAAGTCGCCGGCCGGGTCCGCTGTCACAATCATGACACCCTTTTGCGGGTTGCGGCGCGGCATATGCGGGCTAGTGTGTGAAGGAAATGAGTTGGAAAAGAGAAGCTCCGTCAACTTGCACTGTCTATAAGGGACGACGTTGGGCTGTATCCGTCAGCACGAATGCTACAAGCAGGGCTCAATCGCCATACCTTGGTTGATGTTCCCAGCTCACTCTGGGTCTGCAGACACTGTCCGAGATACATGAGGCTCTCGTTAATCTTGCCCGCCTCAACAAGCGTGGCGCCCGCCGTCTTGGCCTCTCGGGCCCGCTCACTGCCCGCCAAGTCGACGACCGTCAGCTTGCTGCCTCCCCAGGGGCCGGGTCGCCGCCCACCGTGGCGCTTCTTGACCTCGAAGCAGAAGAAGCCGTGGCTGCGGCTCGACACGCTGTTGCTGCCGGTGCCTGTGACGCGGCGCTCCTGCAGGCCGGCCTCGAGGACGAGCAGCGCCTCGCGGGCCGTGGCGCAGACGACCTTGCGCAGGCCGGCGACGACCTTGCGGTCCGGCGACAGCTCCGTCGACTTGAAGAGCAGCGGCCGCCGGCGAAACTCCTTGGTCGCCGCGTTCTTTGTCGCGGGCGTGAGGAGGTCGTAGATGCGGTCATTGTGCACCTCGTACATGGATACCACGACGACGTACTCGGCCGACGCGTCGCACGGCACGAGGATGCCGCTCACGTCGGGCTCCTTCGGGAGAGCGGTTGGCAGGGGCGGGAGGTTGCGGCGAGGCGCGTGGGACATAATGCTCGAGCTAAAGTCTCCCTGCATGCTGTTAGCGGTCATGTTGCGTCGGTGGTCGGCGCTGGATTTGCCGCGGGCGGTGGCGGTGAGGGCCATGTAGAGAGGGTCGAGTGGCTTCTTGGGCGGACTCTTGGGCAGCACGAGACCGGGCAGCCGGGAACGGCACTACTGTTCCGGCAGCCGCGACAGTCGTGGCAACGGTGGTGGTGGTGACTCGGGGAACGAGCAAGGCAGGGTGCGTACAATCATGGGCGTGGCGGCGCGCGAGCTGGCGCGCGGAAGCTGCGAGGGGTCGGCGAAGATAGTCTCGAGGTACGGCGACGCAGCCACTAGTGTAGATTCGGAAGGATCGCAGGCCTGCAGCGAGTCAATCACCGCAGGCAAGGCCGCCGCGTCAAGCATGCTGGGGCCGATAGACCGGAAGACGACGTCGACAGCGAGCTGCGTGAGGCCGCGCTGCGTCTTGGAGCCGAGGATCGTATGCGTCTAGAACAAGTCAGCAAGCTGTCCAGCCTCCGCGACGCTCGTCACATTTTCCAAGTCAGCAAGATCTCTTTTACCTTTCCAGACCCCGTGACGCCCAGTGTCGCCACAACCGCATCGGTTCCCTCGCCGCCCTTGGCCGCCAGAACGCCCTCCACCATGCCGACAATCTCGGTGCTCTTGAAGACATCCAGCTGCGACGCTGTCTCCGCAAACACCTGCGTGAAGCCGAACCGCTCAATCGCGCGCCGCCGGTCCGACGGCGGGTTCAGCGTGATGTGGCTCGGCGGCGCATCATCGCCTTCCCCGTCCGGCGTCTCGACCGTCAGCACGCGCTCGGCCACCGCGGTTGACAAGGCGCCGGCCGGTGGTGGACGCAGGCGCAGGTACACCTCGAACAGGTTCTGCGACGTCCTGGGGGCAGCGGGAGCGTCCATGACGGTCGGTGTAGAAAACGAGGCAACGAGGAAGCGGGGCCCGTTGGTTGTGTGGGTTGCGGGTGACGATGCAAAAAGAGAAACCAAAAGGATATCGAATAGTGCTAGATGGGTGACGCTGAGCAAGATCTGTCGAGAACTCGCGTTTTTATCTCATTGCTGCTGGAAAGTCTTGCCCGTTGCAGTCACACAAGAATGGGCAAGGAGATTGCGCTGGGTTGTTTTCCGCGTTACGCTTTGGCCCAAAGCGGTAACATCTCAACATCAACGTTGACCAGGCAACGCGGACCAAGTACAGGGTAGGCAGTCTAGGAAATGCCTACAAGCTGAAAAAGATCGAAAAGATCGCAATAAATGCCAGGAGATTGGTCCATTCTATTCGAATCTGACTCAATCATCCCAGGTAGACTCTAGTATTTTTGTGATGCAGGAAAAGCTCAGTGCAATCAAAGCCTCAAACTGCTACCTTGTATCGTGGGCAAATTGCAAGTAGCTGGGATTCTGCGCTTAATGGGCGCTACCTTTTCAATCGACGGTTACTGCATACGATATGATAAGAGTCATGACACTAAGATCATTTGCCATTCCTATAGAGACTCATAGAGACCACATACATTAAACACCATACAGGAAATCCATTAAAACTTGGACAGCAATGCAATTGCCAGTTTCCACACGTCATTCAGAGAGCCAAGAACAAACCAAAAACATCAAAAGCAACAACTTCACAAATATTAGACAAAGGGTTAGAAGAAGTTTACCAATCTCTGTTTTCCGTGCCCTCCGGGGGCTAACTATTACTAACAAACAAAAGACTCGTAAAAACGCGTGCAGACTAACCATTACTTCAAGCCAAGCTCTTCTCAGCAAAAATTGTTTCCAAGAAATCTGCTAGGAATACACACTCTGTGGCGAAAGTCAAAGTCTTGCGCAAGTACGCCGCAGGTGAGCCTCTTTAAAGGAAACGCAAAACAGGAAAAAAAAACGAAGAAAAGAAAATGTCATCAAGACAAGCAATCGCTCCAGATGGCGTCGCTGAGAGGCCAGGGGAGGCTTCTTCACAAAGAAACCACGCCGTCCTCATTCGTTTTTATTAGCATACTGCGTAATGCGTCAGATGGGGACATCAAGCATTAAATTCGTAGCATGTTGACATCCGAGATGCTGCGGTGTCGCTTGTGGCCCGCGCTAGTGGCCTCGCTCGAGGCTTTTCGCTTGGCCGATGCATTCTCCAGCGGGCTACGGGCTATATCGCTCAGGTGCTTCTTCTGACGACGGATCGGTGTAAGGGGCATACCCGCCGTGTCGAAGCGGTCCGACTTCAGGCCCCGAAGGGCAGTGTGGTTGTACGGTCCGCTCAAGGCCAGAGAGTCCTGCGTGGCCTGGTTGCTCAAGATCAACTGCTGGTTGATTTGGTTGCGACGGAAAGCACCAACCGTCTCCGAGTTGAGGTGGGAGAGGACATCGATTTCACTGGATGCCGTCGTGGGACGGATAGGCGTCGATGACGGCTGCCAGTTGCCGGCTTCGTCTTCCTCTCCGGATGAGTCGTCTTTATCCCAGGTAATAAAGTCGCTCATCTTAAGATTGCTTTCAGCGTCGTCATCGTCGGCTTCCATGCTAGGTGAGCTAGCCTCAGCTTCACCACCCTCGACGGGCAACGGAAATAACGCATTGGGCTGGGTATTGAAATAGTCTGTAAAGGCTTCAGAGGAGAGCATGGCATTGAACATCATGTTGGCCGCGTCGTCTCCCAGAGGTTCCGTTTGACCGTTAAAGGGCCAGGGGAAGTTCATCTGTTCTGGTGAGAGGTCATACTGGTGACGACGATGTGGGGTGAATATCATCATCTTGCGCGTGAGCGGATTTAGAACAGCAATGGGTTTCTTGTCGGAGCGGTCAAGCTTAAAGCGACCGACGCGAGGATGACCACGCTCCGTTTTTACGGGCTCTGACTCAGAGTCAGTCATCTCACTAATGGCCACGGAGAGACGTCTGGTTCTTTTTCTTGCGGAAGGTTCTGGCGTATCTTCCTCGGTTGTGTCACCATCAGCTGAGCAGTGTGTTAGCGTGGTTAGGAAGAAACAGGTCCCGCATCTGGCAGGACTCACATTCACAGCCGTAAAACTCTTCCGGGATAGGAGAGGCAGGGCCCGTGTCTTCGGATTTGATGTGATTGTTGTGGGGAGTGGCGGTGGGGGTTTCGTTGATGTCCTCAGCGTCCGAATTATCGTCGCCATGGTGTTGGCCGGTATAGTCCCAAAAGGTACCAGAGTCAGATGAGCCATCATCGAGGTCGTTCTCTATTTCTTTGCGAAAAGCGGGATCAAGTGAGTTCTGGGCAACGAAAATATCGGGAAATAGATCACCATGGTCATCGTCGGTGTCGGTCGAGTCCGAGTCACTGGAAGGAATGTCGAAGTGAACGTGTCGCTCGGCAGCCACGTCTGGGATAAAGGTATCGGCATCGATATAAAAGTCGGTGACGTGGTTGTCGTCGCCGTCCGAGACAATGCCTGCCCAGCTTGCCTGCTCATCGTCGTCTTCAAATTCACCGTTACCATCAACGGATACGTCTACCTCGATCTCGAACTGGTCAAGGGCTTCGTCGTCGTCATCGTCATCGTCGTCGTCGTCATCGGTGGGCGGTCGAGGAGAGGGCAGAGGCTTGGCTACAGCTTCTGTGCGTATGTTTTCCTCCTCGACCGCATCCACATCGTCCTCGTCGTCATCTTCTGAGTCGGTAATGTCCTCGACGGCGGAGTAGCCATCGTCATCTGATAGGTCAATAGAGGAAGCCGATGTGGTGTCAGAGTCTCGGCGCTTGGGGCGCCTAGGCGTGGTGACCTTTTTGCGAACGTTGCGAGACATGGTGGTGTTCTGTCTATGTGGGGTTGGAGAATAATTTTCTGCAAACAAAACTTTTGTCTATCGAAGCCGGGATCAATTGCGGCGGGAGCTTGAACAATAGTTGAAAGAATTGTCTTCTCCCGTCGTGAAGTAAAGTCTTGATATTGATCGAGTTATGACAGGACTCGTTTGATATGTCGGTTTGGAGTGAAAATTTTGATAGTGTATGCCCGAGGCGTGAGGGGCAGCAGCGGTTATTGATATCTTGTTGAAACAGCACCTCTGTAATAGCCAAGCAGGGCTTAGCTAGCGGAAGAGCTGTGGAAAAACGATTTGTCGAGTGGAATAATTGAATATCTCGGAGAGCTGCTGGACTGCGAGCCGCGGCCAAGTCGACGGCGACGGCTCGCAGTGGGCGATTTACAGCTCAGCGGCGGCCCTAGGCATGGTGACTCGGCAAAAGGTTTTTTTAAGAGATAAAAGCAGACTGTGTGCTGGATAGGGCGACTTCGTTGTCTGGGATGATAAATTTGGTGCTGAGGCGCAGAGCAGAAAGAGGAAAGAAAGGGAAAGGAGGAGAAGGAAAAAAAAGAGAAGGCGCTGGGCGGGCGTGACAGCAGCATCCCAAACTTTTTCGTGGTGGGGTTCTTGGTGGTGTGTTTTAGCGGCCTGCAGTGGGTTGTCGTCTGTGGTGACGCGATGTTAGTGGACGGGTTTGGGGCGAACGCGAAGATGGGGACGACTGATTGGATGGATCGAGCTACGCTAGTCCTTTCCTAGTGAGAGATCTCGGGCAGCTGTCTGAGTCTGGGCTGCGTCACCGCTCTTTGGACACCTTTACGGGGCCTTTGGGCGTGATAGGGGGTTTTTTTTTGGCGGGCTTGCAGAGGAGTCATCGCTGCCTTGCAGGGGTCGCCGCTGCACTTCTGGCGGATCTCAGCGGCATCTGCGGTGGGCCTGTAGTATTTCTGAGCAAATCGTCACTTAATTGACCATACATTGCCGTTTGGAAATACCTCCAGGTGCTGTTGGCGGGGCTGCCTTTGCTGAAGTTACATGCCGTGCATCTCCCCGGATTGAGGCCTGGAATCAACCCCAAGTCACCAGCCGTGCCGCCATTAAAGCCCGCATTTATGCATGTCTTCCAGATGAGACCCTGTGCAGTAACTGTTCCGCATGGATTCATGAGATAGTCTTTTAAAATCGCCGCGCCCCATTGCCAGCAGTCGATGTGACTCAAGGCCAGCAGAATTGGAACAAACTGCTCCTGAAGGTCCCCTGGACTTAATTGCTTGCCCCACCAGCCAATCCCACTGTGGCGGGACCGTGGCGACTCGTGGCGTTCCCAATGACGGATACTTGGCCTCCAAATCCGAGTTATAACCTTGTGGTTACAAAGTAGTGACCAAAATATTTATATGTCATAGTATATGCCCAGAAAACGCAGTTGAAATTACGTGACCAAAAGACGGGGCGAAACCATACATTTTTTAGTATTGAATTTTGGCACTGGCGCATTGGAGAACCCAAGATCTCAGCCACCACGACCTCTTGCGGTTACTTGGGCGGCTTGCTGTTGTAACTAGAGTTCTGAGTCACAATCGCATAACTAGGCGTTTGGCCCTGGATATACATAGCCTGTATAACAAAGTTTCTAGCCACTACTTACTAATTGGACGCTGGTCGCCGTGGCATGATTAGCTAACAGCTTGTAGGCTGGCATTCTAATCGAGTACAGGTACTCCTACCAAGCAATTCTGGTTGTCCTCCGGATCGGGATACACTAGGCACAAATGAAGTGATGATGACAAGTTCCATAGCATGCAAGGCAGTAATGTCCCGTGCTAGCCAGACATAGGCATTTAAGTGCAATTATGCGCACTCTACTCTGCTTGCACATACAAGCCAATACCAGTACACGGTGATCAACAGGCGACAAAGGCGACGAAATCTAGTCGTGCACTCAATTTTATGGAAGTGTTGGTCGCCCAGAAACTAATCAAGCGGTGAACAGTGAAAGAAATTTCCTTCACAGTCATTTTACAGGGTACCGAGCTATGTGAAACAGCTGCACAGGTGTTAAACGGGTGTTGAATGGGTGTTGTCGACACACCGCGAACAACTTATTTCTAGCCGCGACAAGATAGTTAAAATAAACACGTTCCAGAATATTAGTGCCCCCGTAAAAAAAAGAGAAAAAAAAAAAAAAACTGGCAATGTATTTTCACGTGTCATTGCATCGCGCCTCGCCTGCGGAGGAAACATTGGACCGATGCTCCCCTCCCGGCCGGAGATACCCCACACCCGGCCGAACCATGAGTGGCGACTAGCCGAAGCCATCCAGGAACCATAACTACCTAAATAACCCCGGCCACCCGACGTCTCTCCTCACCCAATTCCTCACTGCCAACCCATTGACTCCTTCAAACGGCAAAAACTAATTGCGCAATGTCCTTTCTCACCCCCTTTATCAACGGCGAGGCCAGCCTGGCCATCGGCTCGCTCCCGCTGACGCTGCTCATCGCCGCGCTGCCGCACTGGTACACCATCTACCAGGCCGAGGTCAACAAGGTGCAGGGCGGCTGGGCCAACGAGAACCCGCGGTCGTTCGTCGCGCGCCTCAACGCCAAGGCCGCGTCGGGCAAGAAGTTGTCGGAGCTCGAGGGCATGATCCTGCGCGGCCAGGCGGCGCAGCAAAACGGCTTCGAGTGGTGGGCCGTCTGGGCCGCCGCGGTGGTACGTATCTAGCGGACGGTGATGTGTTTTCGAAACGCGGAAGCTGACTGTCAAGATAGATTTTGGGAACGCTGGCCAAGGTTCCGCAGGCGGACATGACGAGGTACACGGTCATTCATGTGGCGTGCCGTCTGGTGTATAACTACTTGTACGTCGTAACGTCGAAGCGGTCGCTGAGCTACCTGCGCACCATTGTCTTTCAGGTCAGCAACTACCCGGCGGTGGCCATTTTCTTCAAGGCCGCTTCGGCTCTGAACTGAGTTGTATTTGATTTGGGTATGGATGGATGGGCGTGGAGTTGTTTATGTTTCATAGTTTGAAAAGTATTGTACATTGGCGTTGTCTTGGAAGTCTGTCCATGCTGCCAGGCATTGTGCGGACGTTCTGTAACTCATAAGCGCAGCATACACGGCTCCCATGTGAGTTTGCGATGCGAGTTTTCATGCTTCTGGAGTGCAATCGATGAGAGAGGCTGGATGGCCGGGAGGGGCTTTAGCCAACGAACACAGTACCAAGAGCTTCACGTTAAAACGAAACGCCCGATAGTAGGTCGTGCATGCGCATTTCCTCTGGGAGTCGTGAATAGCCGAATGTGACGCGGGGTCAGTCCATAGTACAAAGTATGATTAAATTTTGATTGGCCGTAATGCTCTACAAATCAACATCGGTATCTTATTCTCTTTGTAAAACGACCAAGAGACCCATGATGCCCAGCATAGCCGTCTTCATCCATGGGTGTTCCGACAGCATAATAGTCACATAACCGACAAACGGGACGTAGCCGACAACGCTGCCAATGATATCTTGACGCTCGAGGTAGTCTTGCCCGCGGGCGTATAATTCGGTATCGTCGCCCGCATTGTTGTCGCCTTTGGTGAGAAGCTGCGCCTTATCCCTGCGAGTTTGTTAGCGATGCCGTGGGGGTGAACGCCCGCGGAGGTGGGCACGTACCCAGTCCCAAACTTGCGCACGACTCGGTGCACAATGGGAATATCTTTGCCCTTGACGTTGTAGACGACGACCTCGCCCACGGCCGTCTCCGTGAGTAGGTTGCGGTTCCAGAGGAGCAGCAAATCGCCACGCTGGAAAGCCGGCTCCATGCTACCTGAGAGGACGACGACGATGGGTGACGGTGAGTCGCTGATAACAGAAAGACCTTTCCACATCTATAACAACGCATGTTAGTATTGACATGTGCTCGTCAATGTGAGGCAAGAGCGCCTGCGGGCAACAGCGTACCATAAACGCTGACGATAGAATCAGGGCAAAGTTGAGCACCTGCGCGGCCGCCTGGCGCGGATTCCCGAGGCTAGAAAGCATGTCGGTTATATGTCCTGCTGATGTTTGGGTGTAGAGTGTTGAATTGGGGCAGCAGCGGGGAATTGATGAGCTGTGACGCGCAGCAGCGAGCTTTGGTTGACAATCTTGTTGCGAGTTGTCGCCGATTGGCTTCAGGACAAGGTGTGCTCTTGCACGACGGCGCACGGACCAGGTATATACCTGTCCGCAAGTCACCGCGACAAGCCCCGCTGTGATCAAGCAGGAGGAGCCTTGCAGACTCAACGGCACCGTGGAATATTGATCGAAAATTGCGAGTCAAGTATGAGAAGAAAGAAAAAAACAGTTAGTCTATATACTTCTAGTCCAATCTACTCAATTATGTGCCTAGGCGGTTGCTTCGGCTGCGTCGCGCATGCACCAAGCTGGTGCGCTCCTTTCACTTCTATGTGCAGCACCTGCCAGTTCCCAGCAGCCAGCTGCCAGCGGCCAACACAAACATCACCACGCACAACGTTTGCCTCTCTTTGCATCTTTGCTTCTTCATCCGAGGATCACCATATTTTTTTCAACACGAATATCCACTGTCGCAATTTTTCTGGCGTCTCATCCCAGCTCTCGCTGCTACTTTCTTGTCCATCACTACATCTTACACGACATCGCCAACATGCCGAGAGACACAACGCCACTCCTCGCCGCCGCCGGCAGTCTCCCTGGGTCCAACGTCTTACACGATCATGTAAGGGATTAAAAATTGGAACTACGTCCAAGCTAACAATTTAGCCCGCGTTTCTTCGAGCCAGCCACTCGCCATGGGAGTGCATTCCACAGACCTATCTCGTCAGACTTCGCGCCCTTGTCCTTACCTTCCTCACCGGGTCTGGTATCATGGCATTTTACTACAAATTCACCGAGTTTCGTGATCACCCGATCTGGTATCTCTTGTTCCACTTTGGCTCGCTGAGCTTTGTCCTCAGCCTCATCTGGCACCTAATCACATTTGTACGTATCGATCTACATCGTACGCGCTCCAGCTAACCAGTCCAGGCCTGGACATTTACCCACCTGTACTACCCGGAACTCGAGGGGCTTGACGGAGGCATCGAATCTTTAATTGTTCGCGCCATGTCTCTACCTTCGAATATGGGCAGTCCCCGGAAGCAATTCCGTTTCACCATGTTTTACTCGACAACGACGGTGTTTTCATTTATGAACGCCATTGCATATTGGTTTGTGACACGGCAGCACAACCCAGATGCCACAACTACTGACGGACCTTGTAAGTTGTTGTGTCTGTACTTCTTGGGTCTTTTCTAATGAATCGCAGTCACGGATCTGTTTGGCGTAGGCTGGTTTAAGGCCTTTGCTATGTTTAGCTTGTATACGACGCCGGCCCTTGTGATGATTATCGAGACAATGTTCTTCAACAGCATCAAGCGACCACAGGTATGATCGGATGCTTGCAGTGATTGCTAATGCTGACTGCGTAGGCTCTTGGTGCTCATTTCATCGGACTGGTTGTTCTTTCTGGGCTGTACCTAGGCTGGGCAAGTCTTGGCGGCCACCTCACCGGTTGCTACCCATTCTACTGGCTCAACCCCGACCATGTTGGATCAAAGGAGGCTGTCGCTGCATACTGCATCGGCTTCATTGGACTTGCCCCACTGAGTAAGTTATCTTCTACGTACTGACATTTCTTTACTAATAGAACCAGTGTTTGTGCTGAAGCAGGGCTTTATTGGTCTGCGCGAGGGCTTGACTAATGCACCAGCGAGAATGAGAGAGGTGGTTCGGGAGACGTTTGTGGACAACTAATTGATTCGACGACGGTTCACGCACAAGAGGAAGCAGCAAACGTACAAATACCTCATTCCAATAAACCTATACCGCGCTGTGGGGATGCAACTCTATTACCTAGGCATCTTTATCAAATAGAATTATTCATCATTTTTCTTGAAATTGTTCCGGTGACTTGTGCTGTGTTAATGCGGTGGTGGGCGACGTGTAAGTGGACAGCATGCCTAGAACAACCACAGCATGAGGCCTCATGCTTAACTTGCCCGCCGGTATAACAATGTGAATGCTCTATGATTTAAAATAGTAAGATTATTTGAAAAAATAGAAAAGATAGAAAAGATAAAAAAAAAGACCTTTCCTTTTATTTTGGCGCGGATGATGGCTATTTATTGGGAAATAAATTCCATTTCCCCCTCCCTGGCTTTTCCTTGGCCAACAACGACGCTGCCTACCCCAGCAACGCTCATACCCCCCCAAAACACTACCTGTTGTTCCGGCTTTGCACTGAGAAAGCCGCAGTTTATTCTCGACTATAATCGCGTCTGATCCTTGCCGTTTGCGGTCTGCTTCGTGACGTGCTCCTACCTCTCGGAAGAGGTCCATAGTCTTCTCAAAGTCAGGATTGTCAAGGCCGTGGAACTTGTACATTCTTGAGTGGTTTGCATGCATAGGTATTTCAACGCAGCTCTCGATGCAAGCACTAGACTGGGAGACAACCTCGTACTCAGTTAGATAGAGTTGGGGAGCAGGGACAGGCGGAATCACCTTGATTCCTATCATCCAATTCTCGGTGCCGAATATGTAATCTGTTCGGCAGAGTTCATAGGCGCAGTAGATTTGGACACCTTCCATTTTAGCCCAGTCTACGAAATTTGGCACCCTGTTCCTTGACCATTTGTAGTCTTTCATCACGCACTTCAGCACCGCGCTTGGCTCTCGTCTTGGGTGAACTGATGCGTAGGCATAAGGCACATATGCCCACCGAGTACCGCGAAATGGTGTACCGAAGAAGAAGATGTCTGTCGTGTTTTGAGAGATGTTGAGGTACGGAGAGTTCGCTTTCCTGCTAGAGACAAGAGCCTCAACGACGAGGTTACCTCCAAAGCTGTGCGGGCAGAACATGATAGGACGGCCAACGGTGGATCCCTCGGCACGCACCGCTTCAAGTCCCCGAAGAAGTGTCTTTGCCAACTCAGATAAGTCCGGCTCCGGCTTGCCCTTTTTGTGTGAAAATGGTGCCTGGTAATTGTAGACTATTACCCGACATCGAACGTGATCCGGAAGCTGCTCCTTCGCCCAGTGGACGAATTTCTCACCAACTTTCCTCAAAAGCGTATAGTTGGGGTTTGCGCGCGCGCCATGCACGAATACAATATCGAGAACGGCTCTGTCATCCTCGTGTAATACCTCCACGCCTTTCTTATACGGCTGCGACTCGGCGCTGCCATGACGCGGTATGAGCCGACGCAAGAAGCATAAGGTGGTGTGCGTGTAGTAGCGTAATAAACCCAAATATTAGTAGAGTGCAAACAAGAACGAGTGGGATAGACAGATGAATGTGGAAACTTATGAGGAGTCAAGTGAAGAAACAGAAATAGAAGAGAGGAAAAAGAGAGGCATGACATACCAGGGAAGCCGAAACGCTTGTCTGGATGTCCTTTCAGGTGACGAAACAGATAACGGGGAGCGGGAAGAGCTCAAATGCCACTGGCGCATAGAAACATGCATTTTCATCTCTTATCTCTTTATGACATGAGTCAAGTAATTTGTTCTATCCAAAAAAAAAAGAAATTCAAGAGTGTTATGCGAGGCCCTCACTTCCTCCCGTGTTGTGTCCCCGGACTGGAAATGACAGGTGATTCACTGTGCCTAGCGGAGTTCATGATGTTCTAATCTGCTGGCGCAGGCTCAGTAAGCTTGCTTCTTAGGATTGAAGAATAGCAGCAGCTTCTGTCTTCGTCCTGGCGGTCTCGGCACGGCATCTTAATGAAATTCTCACGGGGATGCTGTTGTGAGTCGAAGGTAACTTGCGGCTTCCGTAGATCATAAGACTTTACCTCTGTGTCAATTAACATGACTTGATTGCCTAATAGAGCGTAAAAAACAAAGAAACTGAGCACTGCCACTATTTCGCGTCACGTTCCATAATGGTCCGATGGTCAGTCGGCTGGTCGTCCCTTGCCGCTCCTTGCGGGAAGCAGCTTGTTGGTTCCCACTGCAATGCATTATATTACGCAACTGAAGTTGTATTGAGGAAACGCCGAGTCAGACTCAGCACCCGTCTATAGGAAAAAGGCCTCTGTGGATGTTGCCTGCTGCGCCAGCAGCCAGCGTCACGTTCACGGGAGCCTGCGTCACAGAGGCCATCACCCGCTAACAAGGACCGCTTTCAGAAGCATTCTACCTTTTCAGAGCTAGCTAAAACGTCTTTGTCCTTTTAGGGTCGCACTTCGTATCATGAAACAGGCATTACTGTTAAGAATACTTGTTGCATTGCCATTACGGCTGAGACTCATAAGCTGCCAGGACACACACCCCGGGAGTCCCGTCCGGGGAAGGGACAAAGGAAACCAACTGCTTCGGCTCTATTTCAGTTACTTTTCCACCAAACCCCTACAGCACACCCGATGGACCATTATCAACGGCCAAACTTGGTAGAGCCACGGTGCGTCGCCAGGTTAATAGCGTGGCCAAGGGGAGTGGCGGTTGACCGCCTGGCTACCGTGCACGGTGCAGGAAGGCCCAGCATGTTGTGAGTATGTGAATACGGGTTACTAGAGAGACAACTGTTGATATTGAGTTTTGATGTCGTTAATGGCGGTTGGTTTTTTTGTTGGAGCCTCGCTCATACGCCAAGTCAAAGAGAAAAACATAGCCGGCAAGATTAGGCATAGCGGCTTCTGCCTAATTTTATTGCCCAAAAAGTGGATTCTATCGTTTTTTGCTGTACGAAATACTAAAAATAGGGCTGCCTCTCAGCCTTGTTTTCCCCTGGACTAACAAAGACGAGAAGGAGGAGAAAAAGAAGGAAAAAAAACTTGCCACCGTCATTGCCGTCCGCTCATTAAAAAGGCCAGTCTCGGCCAGCCATTCGCTTCGTTTTTTGTCTTGCAGCTTGTACTGCGAACTGCTGCTCAATCGTCGACTCTCACCAGCCGCGTCAACATGGCCTCTCCAGGCCAAGAACCAACCGACCAGTTGCCGACCGCTCACGAGTACGGCCAACGCTCCCTCACAGACACAGCCCCCCTTGGCGCTGGATCTGCGTCCACTGCTGCCCCCTCTCAGCCAGTGTCCGTCTCGCCGGCGACGATCGCGGCCACGCCCTCCGCTCGCCACGCGGGGCCGTTGAGCCCCGAACAGCAGGAGCAGCAAGGAAGAGCTTCGCAGCCGGACGCGGCTCAGGGCGATGCGACCGCTGCTGCTGCTGCCACCGCCGCGGCGTCGCCGCCAGGGGACCGCGTCTATGCCGAGGAAAAGGCCAGCCCGATCTGGGCCTGGAAGCGCCGCCATCTGCTCCTCCTCCTACCCGCCCTGATCCTCTCCGTTGTCGGCCTGGGCCTCTCCGGGAACGCCGCCGCCAGGGGCGTCTTCCACCTGTCCGGCGCCGAGGCCATCCTGGCCATCCCGGTGCCCATCTACGTGCTGACCATTGTCTTTGCGATTGCCGAGATAGCGGTCCGCGTCGTGCGCAAGTTTAAGGCGGGCTTCCACCCGGCCGTGCACGTGGGCGTTTGGCTCATCTGCTGGCTCATCTACGCCGGTCTCATCGCCGCGTTTGCCATTGTGGTACGCTGGGTCGACGACAGCGACGACGACGACGACGACGACGACCCGGATCGGAGTAGTCTTGACAAGCGCCAGTTCTTGGCGCAGTTCGTCTTCATCATCCTGCTCTTCCTCAACACCTTCATCCTCTTCATCATGTCGTGCATCGACACGTCGGCGTACAATGCCGAAAAGGCCACGCCGCCGGCCACCGACGACAACGGCAACGCGCTCGACCCCAATCACCACGAGGACCGCTCCTGGCGCCTGACCAAGCTCATCTTCAACTTACTCGTCATCGTCTTTGGCGTCATCGGCTTCGCCATTGGCATATCCATGGTGCGCTTCCAGGACCGGTACTACTCCAACAACATCATCTTCCCCGCGTGCGCGTGCGCGCTGCTGATCCCCATCCTCTGGGCCGTCGCCGAGGTGTGCTTCGCGCTGACGGGCGTGCGCCGCCGCTTCCTCCAGGGCGTGCACCCCGGCGCGCACGTCGGCATGTGGCTCGTGTCCTGGCTCATCCTCGCCATCGTCGGCGGCATGCTCACCACCTATGCCGTCTACAGCATCGAGGAGTGCCACGACTACCGGGACAACAACATGCGTCGCTCCGTGGCCGTGGACGGCTACGCGCTTCCCACGATTGTGCCGGTTGTCGACGCTACGATCGTGGCCCATGACGCTCGTCAGGTCGGCGGCGCGGCCTCCACCGCCAACCTCCTTGCTACTCCGACAGCCAACCCCAACGGCATGAACCCCGCCACCATGGGGCCGACCAGCAGCAGAGTCCTTGCCAGTCTCCCCACGACGACTACGACCCCGTTCGGCAGCGACCCCGACGACCAAGACCCGTACGAGGACCCGTACTATCCCTACCGCCCCTCGTCCAGCAGCAGCAGCCGTCCCAGCAGCAGCCGTCCCAGCAGCAGCGCCTACGGGAGCGGCAGCTCCTACGGTGGCGACTCCAGCGACTACCCGCGCGGCGGGTACTACAGCGGCGGCTACGACCGTGACCGGGACGTGCTGTGCTCGCGGGCGGGCGTCGACGGGCTCATGATCGCCACCTGCGTCTTCATGTGGATCGTCTTCGTCTTCGCGTTCGTGCTGTTCGTCGCGGGCTGCTCCGACACGTACCTGCGCAACCACCTGCGCAACCCCGTCACCGTCGTCTACGTGCCCGTCGGCCAGCCCGTCCAGTACGCGTATCCGCCCCCGCAGCCTGTGTACTCGGGCGTGCCAATGCGTGGCGGCGAGAAGCAGGCGATGGCGCAGGGTCTTCCCGATCAGCACCAGCAGCAGCATCAGCAGCAGTATCAGCAGTATCAGCAGCATCAGCAGCAGTATCAGCAGTATCAGCAGTATCAGCAGCATCAGCAGCAGCAGCAGCAGCATCAGCAGCAGCAGCAGCATCAGCAGCAGCAGCAGCAGCAGCAGCAGCAGCAGCATCAGCAGCAGCATCAGCAGCAGCCGCCGCCTGCTCAGGGCAACGTGATTGAGTACTATGGCTCGCCTCATTAGGGGGATGATGTTTGCACATTAATAGTGCAATATTTATCTTTCACTGATTCGAAGCTAGTTGCTATACTTGAGCATTTTCATGTCATTGATACCACGAGGAGGAGAAAGCTATTTAATTTGCCGCCACGCCTTGCCAGATGGTCTCGGGTTCAGAGGATGTTAATATTTATGTACAAAGGCGGGCGGGCCTACAAGATACCACCATTTACACACTCATGCATGTAATTATTCATTAGACAGTCAAAAACAACTTTTTCAAGATCCGGCCTAAACAGGTAGAGCCATGGGACATTCATGATGGAACATCGCGGAGGGGCGTCGGACGGGCCGTGCCGTCCCAAGGTCCGCTAACGTCCAGTCAGGAACAATGAAGCCAAGGTAACAATGACAAGAAAAAGAGAAGGAAGAGAAAGAGGAAAAGAAAAAAGGGAAAGGAGCCCAGAATCAAAAAAAAGAGAAAAGAAAGCTCAACTAGAGGCAAAAAAAGCAACACGACCCCGCCAGGACTCGAACCTGGAATCTCCGGTACCGGAAACCGATGCCTTGGCCATTAGGCCACGAGGCCGATGGTTCTATTAGTCATCTATTGTAATACAAGAGGCCCAGTTTGGATAGAAGGTGGCAAAACGCAACGTTGGTATTTATTGACACGATTGAATTCCGCTGTAAAGTCCAAAGTCGCGGTACTTACATGAGAACCTACAAGTGATGATGGTATAAATAATACATAAACTGCCAAAATTCTCACTTTTATCATTTGATGCTATGCCCATGGTGATTTTCTGCGCGTATTCCATAAAACGCTATGGTCACCGTAAGATACTATGCCCCCCTAATATGCTATGCTACCCTTAATATGCTCTGCTCCCCACAATGTGTGTACCTTGTTGAACTGCTCCCGAATAAACCCCAAGCTTAAAAGCTAAATAGCCCGCTACGCTGTTTGCCGTACGGATAGACGACGACGGCTGAGATGAAGAGACCCACCGACACACCAATGGCCACCTCAATCATTCCATAACCCAGACCGGTCAGGGAGTTGTTAGAATTGATGACTGTGGCATCGTTGATGGTGCCGTCCTGAATCTGCTTCGAGTACTGCAGGCCAGAGATGATGGCGCCGGACGCGGCGAGGCCCGACGACACAATTGTGAAAATTCCCGGGATGATGGCTGACGCCGCGTGACCGTGCCAAAGACGACTGTACAGGTTACCCGCCGTACCCAGCGCAAAGGCGCCGACTGTGTTGGCCAGCCCTGTGGAAGAGCCTAGGCGGTTGCTGAGGAAGTAGTTGGGCATGTACCCGATGAGGCCAAAGACAGCCATGATGGGTGTCTGGCGGAAGCGTGCTTGGTTGACGAGACCGGCAAGGATGCAGTACACGGCGACAAACGGGAAGTGTTGCACGTAGGCGTTGCCGTACGGCTGCTGTGGCTGGCCAAGGCACGATCCCTCGCCGGTTGCGCCTTTATCTATAAGGCCATACGCGGTCGTGCCAATCGTGACGCCATATCCGAGAAACAGCGAGTAGAGGATGGTGTAGACCAGTCGCACTGAACCGGGAATGATTTGGTGGGACTGCAGTTCGAGACTGCTGCATAGAACAGAAAAGCCGGGCAGAATCATACAGATGGACGACTGCGCAATTGCAGAGAAGCAAAACACGTACTTTCTATCCGACAGATTAGCAAACGGGCCGGTCGCCCGGATTGAACCGATGCCTCGTGCGATGAAGGATGTGATAATGGCCATGGCAACTTCGAATACGTTTGCAAAGAGGATAGAATACGGCGCGACAACATGCTGCATGAAGCCGACAAAGGCACCGAGGAAGAAAATTATGGGCAGATCGATGGGTCGGGCACCAAAGGCCCAGGGGCCGATGCAGGCCGAAGACAGGCCGTACAAAAGGATGATAAAGGGCTTGTTGTAACGTGGATTGCGCTTCATGATCTTGTCGAGCTCCTCGGCGGCCTCGTCGGCGCCAATCTTGTCGTGGATGACGCTCTTGTAGATGTTATGCACCTCGGTCAGGCGGCTCAGGTCCATGCCCTGGACAGAGCGGACCAGCTTGACCTGCGCCGTGTGCGTCTCGCGGTCGTCAAAGGACATGACCATGCAGCCGGGCATGTAGAGGAACTGGGCGCTGACGTCGAGGATGCTTGCCGTCATGACCATGTACTGTTCGAGGCGGTGCGTCGGCGCGCCGTACGCCATGAAGGCGCGGCACAGCTGCATAATGTAGCGCTGGCGCGCCAGGATAGAGGCAACGTGGACAGTGAGCTTCTTCTGCTTTCGCTGCTGGCGCTTGAGACGGCGTTGCTCGGCCGTCGATGTCAACGCAGAGAGCTTGGGGATGGATGAAGAGCTCTTCTTCATGTTAGGGTCCTCGTACCATTTCGTACGCTTGTCTCGTGTGGCGTCTGGGTCTAGATATATCTTGTTGAGAAAGTACTCCTTGTTGATGATGCTTTTACTCGTCTTTTCGAGTTGCGATAGTCGGAGAAGAGTCGACAAGAGTCCCGCATTCACGGGTGCCGAGGCCGGTTCGCCGGTGAGGCCGTCGGGGGTGGTAGTGGCCGTGGTGCCTTCCGGTGTTGTGGCACCTGTCGACAGGCCGTCTGCATTGCCTGGTGGCTTGCTGTGCAGGCCAAAGGTGCGTATGATGTCGGCGGCCTCCTGGTCTTGCACCTCACGGAGCGTTGCGTTGGCCTTTTCTTCATCGTTGTCGTGCTCGCCGCTCGTACGGTCGCTACACGCCGCGGCCTGCTGGAGATCATCCGTCGCACCGACATCTGCAGGATGGAAGCCGGGATCGAGACCGTCCTCGCCATATTCGGGGCGTCTCATGCTGTCGGCAATGGACTGCAGCCTGACAGCGGCGATGGCCTTTTTCCAACGATCCATGATGATGACAACAATGGTGATGACGACGACCGCTGCGTAGATTTTGGGACGGTTGGAAGAGGTGAACGCCCAGATGAAGACCGTGCAAACAACGGAGCTGCTACACTGTTATGTGCCGATCGGGAGACCATGGCTGAAGGCACAGAGAAGTTGCACCTGCTGCCTGCCTAACGTCATGACCAAGGCACGGAAGTCTCGGCACTGGCAATCAGGTAGTTACTGGTGTTTTGCTAGATGTGAAATGATGTAACGGGGTCCATTGTGATGGATTCTCGGTGGGGCGTGCTTTCTACATAGGCACGTTGACGATGACGATGAGGAGGTTGCGGAAACCAATAAAAATGGATGAAAATTGTTGGAAAAGGGTCAAATAACAAAGGGATAATAAGGGACAAATTGAGGTTATTTTCTGGTTCTTGATAATGACTAGCTAACTACTTCCTTCGTCTTTGCCTCCATCGCCGTGTGTGTGGATGAGCCAAGGTAAGAATGGGTCATGGTCAATTCCAGCGAATGAGAGGACAGGATTGAGCAGGGTGTATTAACAGAAACAAATTAATCTATCCGTACTGGGTAGTATGACGCCAAACCAGGGTTGCAAAGTACTACATTGAATGTATAAGAGCCTTCTCAGGCTTAAATGGATATCTTATAAATATTTATAAAAAGGTAGTACCTTCTTTATTATATATAATACTAGATGCTTATTTTAAATATTTATATATGCTTCCTTCTCTATATTCTACTATTTTCTATTTTATGTAGTGACTGAGGTTCTTCTTCCTCTGTGCAGGGTTTAGTCTGACACTTCGTAATCTATTTGTGCTTGAAAGAATTGCTCTCTGATCTTTGTGCAACCCCAGTATGTGTTCGTCATCCAACCCTCCACCACAACATCGATCCGAGACAAATAGCACGAACAGGCTTGTCAGTCAGGATAAGGACGACGAGGTTTCTCGCCCGAGCCGTTGTCCGAATTGCGACCTTGTCTCAACCAAAAACGTTGCTGGGTAGCGGCCGATACTGCTGGTTGGTGGTTCATGGTGCCATCAAAATGCATCGCCCAAGCTAACCAAGATGACACGTTCAAGGGACACTTTCCTCCTACCACTAACAGAACTTGCTCTTGATGCGGCCAAAAATGGACGCCTTGCTTTGCGCTTGCTTTACCTCGACTTCGACCAAGGCCTTTATGTCCAAGAGCTCGTCCACGTCACTGCTGGCTCTAATTGTGGACATGGACTGAAGGGCGTAGTTGACGTGTTCCCTTGCTTCATAGACCTTTCCGTCATCCCGTGCCTTCTGAATGAGTTCCTTCTGGAAGGCCCATGTGCGCTTAAAGCCAACCGGCCCTGCCTTCACAGAGGCGTCCTCCGAGTAGATGCTGGTTCCAGGGGGGATGCCGCGAAAATGCCAGTTGAACCATTCTGTCCTGCGTCCAGGGCGATTATTCTCTATGATGACTCTGTTGTTCTCGCTTGATACTTCTGAGAAGACCGTCCAAAAGTCGTCGTTGTCGTCCTCGTCGTACGTGTCTGACAGTTGGCAATAGACGAGCAAGGCGTATCCCATTGCCGCATTCGAATCCCCAAGCTTGCGTGCCGCCTCAATAAGCCGCTTCTGGAAAGCCCAAGAGCCCACATCCGTCGGCTGCTCAGATGAGCTGCTGCCGCCAGTCTGCATCGATACCTGCGTTTCGAGCTCCTGCAGCCTCTGCCGGAGCGCGGCGCTGGCCCTATCATGCAGCACATCGAGTTCGGCAGTTTGGGCCTCCGTAATCCAGGTACACCGCTTCTTGACTGCGAGGACCACCGCCATGGCGGTATCTGGTTCGCCATCGCTCAGTGCTTTTTCGAATTTCCTCGTCGATCTAGCCCACTTCGTCTCATTGTCCTCCAAGAGAACACAAGTGATCAGGTCGAGCTCATCCATGGCGGGCATTCTGTGAGATTGTTGTTTGACTTTTTCTTCTTCGAGAGTGCTTTGGTAAGTTGATCTGGCTCTCTGTTGCGTAGGTTGGGTTGGTCGTTGACAGCGTGCTTCTGGTCTCAGAAAGATGGGCAGGACGTCGCCCTTTTATGCTTCAAGTTCCAGCTGTTCTACGCACGAGCAATTATGACACATTTACTCGTTACTCTTTCTTCTCGCACGCCGTAATCTTGTGGCATGTGTGTTGTGATTCGGAGTCGATTGCCCCCACGGCGGGTTGGCAGAGCATACCTTGACTGAGGATGTTTCGCTGCTCATGACACCGCTCTATTCCATTGACCAGAACGGCTACACAGAATAGTAAGTATTCTCTTTGTTCCGTAACTACAGGTGAAAACTATCGGCGCAACAGATGGAAAGCGCCACCTGCTCTCCGTACTAGCTACACCCCCTCTACTCGTAGAAGAATTTGAATATTTATTCTATTGTATTATCTTTTATTAAAAGTCAGTATCACTCGCCCGTCAAAAGTACAGCTATCCTTGGACACAATTCCCCTATTTGATTACCTTTTCCCCCGAAACGACAAGAGCAAGAGCACGTAATACCGCCAAACCGTCTTTTGTTGGCTTACAGCACTAACGCTGAATGCTCAATTGTACTAAATATCGTTTTTCTATATCGACTAGATTCTAGTACTCAGTGACTGAATGACGGAAGCCCCGTAACTGGCATCCCGAAACCCCACAGCCGCGGGAGCTGCGGCCATTACAATCTCGCGAGGGCTCCCTTCACCATAGTCTCAAAATAGTTAAGACTTTGAAGGAAGACCTCAGTTGAAAACAAAAATATTCGAAAAAGATCCAGGTCATTCAAGTCAGCATCAACTTCACCTGAGACGGTGCGATGGCGGCGGGCAGTCACAGGGCGGTGGTGTGAATTTGGTGCGGACGGTCCACCTGATTGTTGGCTAGAGACTTCCGGGCAGTGAATACACAGCATCATTGCAAGTTGTATTGCAGTTGCACGATAATGCCAAAATGAGTCTTCCCTTGACATGGTCTCCTGCCAATCATTGGCCTTTGCCTTGTGTCCATGATGCATCGAGGTGCTGGCTTTGCGGAAAGGGGGCGCTCGCCAGCAAGGGAGCCTTCAAGGATTCGGGCTAATACCATCAGGCCAGTACCCGTAGTCAAGTTGAGAGCATAGACGCGCTTCTTTGTTCCCTACCTAACGTTGAATCTATATTTGGTATATTCACGCAACACGCCCGCAACCCCCCCCCCCCCCCCAAAGCCTGTGGCTTTCTTTGTTTTTGTTGGCAAGTAGTCTCTGCTCGATGGCAACATCGAAACGCCCCAGAAGCTGTTTCGAATACATGGTGGGCCATGGATGGGTCGCAGCGTAAACCCGAGTGTGCATCACCTGCTTACCTGTTGTTGCCGCTGTTGTTGTTGGATGGGTTTGTAGCACGGGGACACCTCGTACGACGAGTGCACTATAGTGATAAAGAAACGCTGCAGAAACTGGGTTCTCGAGATATCTATGCATACTCCCTATCAAGGGGGCAGGTTTTGTTCCTGCGACCATGGAGCTGGTGTTGCGGGGACACTTACCCCCCCTTTCCCGCCGAGGTCGTTGAAATACGGAATCACACTCAGTTATTACTGAAAGAAGTAAGATGGTGGTCTGGGCTCATTGGATGCCGCTGGCCCTTCATGAGTCTCACTCTCAAGAGACAACTTGGTCGATGCACTTGGTTGAATCAGGCCAATCGGAACTAGCCCGACAAGGCTAATCTAGGTTATGGGGGGCCTTAGAAACAGTCATACCCTGGAGGATTTTGGATGAGTTTTCCAGGAATTCTTCAACAAGAAATCGACAGTTGTCAGTCAGGGAGACATGCACCGTTGTGGTCCAGTTCCACCACGAGCAGCGTGTGAATGCCAATTTGGCTTTCATATGCATGAAGACACAATGAATTGATTGCAAACGCCTTCCATCTCTCCTACCCCTACCGCCCCCGGGTGGTCTACTTGGTGTTCTAGTTGGGAGCTTACACGTGGAGAGGAGAGGACCCGTTCAAAAGACATGTAGAGAAGAAGTAAAACACAAGCCCAACCCCCACTCCGCATATTCTCAAACTTATAGAGTGCTACAAGCTGCTGTCAAGATGCCCGGTTGTCTTTTATTTCTTGTCACAGGCTGGCACGGCCACAGGCATTTACGGTTGCTCCCGTGCCAGGTATATAGTACAGCATCGGAACGGCAACGCCACCAAAGTTTCCAACGGCGCCGCCTCGTAGCTCGCTCCCGCCGAGGTAATTGAGTACGATTTCGTTGCAAATAGAAAGACTGGAGAGGCTTCGGAACAAGTACGATTCAAGGTCGACGCCGAGTTGAGACAGCAAGGGGGAACCGGTATGAACTCGCTTACCGCCGGCTGTTGGTCGTGCTACCGGGCTGGTGGTGTGACGCACTCAGACGCTGGAAGCAGCAGGCGGAGAGGGGACGGTAGTGGCTCTAGGCGACTGATTTGTAATGTACCGGGTTGTGTTTCTTTGTTCGTAGCATCTCATCAAGATGGGCCACGAGATCGGGGGTGCGGGCAACCAACTTATGCAGCTGAGACTTTCGAATCGCGAGGTATAGATTTAGAGTAACACATGGTACCATTCTGAGAAGAATGTTTGAATATAACCTTTAAATCCCACGTTTCGGCCCAGATTGCACCCGCGCGTGTAATCGACAACATTGCGGAACGCTGCCCTGATTGTACCCCGTACGAGACTAAGACGAACCCGCGGCCCAAGCTTCGGGCTAAATAAATGTAATTGGCTGCTTTTCTCCACGACTCTCTCTATTTCGGGTAACTTTGATGCCATGAATGGGAGTCTTCTTTGACGCTAATGCGTCCTCCGCCGCCCCAGATGCGAGATGGTGTTGAGCTGGCGTTGGTAGGCAAGTGTCCTACCTACTGCCAGGATAAAGGTATATTGAGCCAACTTGTCGAAATAAATGTGCCTTTTTTCTGGCCAATATTCGTGAAACAAACCAATGGTCTTACCCTATCTATTGTGCTGTCCCCATTTACCATACACAAAAAGGTAAGCAGTGCGCGCTGCTTGGAAGGAGCAAGTTTAGAGGCGCGAGTTTTCATCCAAAGATCCTCCTCATCTTTATCTGCTTGTCTCACTGCGCCCCCTCCTCCTCCCTAACCCGTTTGCGCAGTTCTCAGTTATCCTCCCATATTGCGAAATCACATGCCGATCGCAGATCATCCCTTGTTTTCCACCACCGCACACGAGCCCGCGACACGACGAGCGAAAACACATCGATGCGAAGCAACCTTTCCCATATCCAAGCAACTCCCAGGGAGCGTCCGAACACGCAACGCACGCACCGAACACTCAGTACCGCTAGTAGGGCTCTTCCCGCCGGCAGGCCATGCTTGCCGAGTACGTCGCCGCGGCGTCCCGCTTAGCTGCTGAGGCAGCGTCGCCGTCGCCGGCCTCTTCAGCCTCGAACGCGCGCAGCGGCGGCGCAGGGCACGACGGTAGTGACAGGCGAGAGGGTCCAGGCCATGTCGATGGTGAGGTGTGGCTGTGATAGCTGGCGAGGGACAGCGGCCGCGTTGACTTGGTGTCTGCCCGGACGGGCCGTTCTTTTGGGACTCGGAGGAGGCGCCGGTCATGGAACGTGATCGGAAAGCGACGGAAGACTGCTGTCGACTCGCATCGCATCTCGGGGGCACCTTGGCGGCGTTGCTAGCCGTCGTCTTTTTCGGCGAGACCTGGCATCCCGAACGCCTCTGAGACGAGCATCCCCCGAGTTGTTGGCCTTGTTGCTGTCTGCAGCATACGTGCGTGCCGTACCATCACCAAGTGTATTGCGACAGTTTGGAAAATTCAAGTTTGCCATTTCTCTGTCCCTTTTAACTTGTCTAACATATTCTAGATTCACCAGCCGACCTTGGATATCTGGCTTGACTTGCGAAGCCGCAGGTGCTGACTGGCGGCTCGTTTGCTCCTCGGCTTCATATACAACCCTACAACAGAAACGGTGTTTTTTTACCCAAGAAGGAGGAAGCAAGAGAAAAACGTCAAAATCATGGTAAGAAGCTTCTCAGCTCTAGGTGGCAGTGACTACTACCAGCTTTACGTGCAGACTCGGTCTCCGGCCTCAGACGATCAATCCACTGCGAGCAGTCTCACCGTTCTCGACCAACCTCCCTCCTGCACGTCTCACTCCACCGAATGCCAACCCTCCCTCGCACCCGCTCCTGCGCACTTGACAGCTACAGTACTAGGCATACACGTGCGTGCGTCTCCGCCGGCCGTTGTGGCAAAGATCTACACGAGCGCCGGGCGCGGCGGTTTGACCTGGCCGGCCGCAGCAGCGCGGTGTCAGCCAAGGCAGGGCAAGGCTATCCTGTCCGAACCTGCCCGTGCCTCAGCACGACCCTGCAGCCGCCCACCCGTCCATTTTCCACTGCGACTCTGGATGCAGGGCCCTGCAGGTTTCCGGCAAGAATAAGACGAGATGAGAAAGTCTCAGGCCCGAGAATGGTGCTGTGCAAAATAAGGCCAGCAATAGGATTGCTCGACGGCATCGCGGGACGCGGGTTGGGCTAGTGCTTATGCTGCGCGGCTGGACCAGAACAGAACGAGATATGCATATTCACGACGGCCCACGTCTCCTCCGAGCGCGCCGAGGAGGCGGAGGAGAAGAAAAAAAATCGAGGCTGGATTCGGAGCTCGGGTGGGCGTGGCAACGCGGCTCGCAGGATGCATACATCAGCCATGGTGGCATTAGTAATTGCTTGGCTGCTGCTGGCCGGAGCATGAGGCGTGATGTAAGTGAAGGAAAAGGGAACTGCATGACACCGCTTGTTTGTTTGGTAAGCTAAGCTATGTAAGCTAAGCTAAGCTAAGCTAAGCTAAGCTAAGCAAGGCAAAGCGAGGAAAAGCAGAGCAAAGCAGATCAAGAAACATGACCACCTCTGTCATGTACCGTGGCCATCCGTGTCGTCGCACCGCATTTTCCACACATGGCATATGACATACGGTACGAGAACCACTGACCATCCACTGGATCAGCATCAGCCTCACAGCCGCAGCGGCTTCCAACGGCCCCCCTGCCTCCACCAACCAGCCAGAGCAAGTTTATTATACCGACCTATTATTGTGCAATTAACATGGATCTCTTCCCTTCCCTTGTCCTCGCCAAGGATCGCATGGCAGGGATCTCACAAGGCTTGGCGCTAGGCGGCCTGGTCCGCCTACATAGCACCTTTAGCGTGAGCAGGTTTGAGACTGATTCAACAGCTGGTGAATGAGCATATTGCGCAGAGCAAGTCCGAAACGGCCGATCAAACTATAAGAAGGAGAGGGCATTTCTCTGCTCCTTGTCCTCCGGGACTAAACAATCAACTAACGATATAAAGCCCGTGGCTAGTTTCCATGCCAGCATTCGGCCGGTAGGCGATTGTCGAGGGTCTTTTTGATGCTGG